TCTCGAACTAACTATCCCTGAATTTAAAATGAGAAAATGTACGCTATCATTTGTAAAAGCATCAGACAATTTCTAAAATCATTATTCCATACATGTATACTAGCTATATACTATAACTATATCTAGTATGTGATATATTGCGTTGTCCAAGTTCTAATATATTGAATACTGGATACATAATGTAAATATAATGTTTACAGATTAAATGTGTATTTTTGCAAGTATGTAACATATTCACATGACACATGTGGACATCAAGTATAGACAGTTAAATCTTACCAATAATTTTCACGATAACACGAAACAATTCATGTTTAAGTAATACATTCCTGTTAACAATCTTGGACAGTAAATTCGTTAATAGAAGCCTAAACGATTTTTATTACAAGATCAACAACTGCAAATAATATTTAACGTTATTATTCGTTCTAGAATTTTAATTCGGTTTAAGGAGGTTTTGCCTAGGCCTATAAAGTATAACAATCGGACAATAGCGATCAGTGATCGTATTTGTCGTCTGATGATAGCCAATAAAGTAATTGTATTGAGGGGTGATTTGACAGTTTGTTCCCTATATGTAGCAACTACTGTGTAGCAGAAAACAAAAAAATCATATACAGGCCAAAACGTCTTTTTATTCAAGGACCATAACTCAGCTAAAAATGATTCCGCTTTTCAACGCCAAATTCATTCCTAAATCAAACTTGAATAAATACGTAATGTCTTTGCATTAAATGTCTCACATCTGTTTAAGATAAACACACAACATATTTGATTATGTAAAAATGATTATCATACATTATAGTACCAAAATACAAAAAAGTGTTTATAAAAGACAAACGTTTCATAATATATTTGACAGAAATCATTAGCCAATTACACAACAGTGCCTTTACGGCACAAGAATTCGTTCCTGTTCATTTTCGTAGAGGAACACGTTAACTAAATGGTTCATCAGTCGAATACATCAGGTATAAACTTCAAATCAGCGTTGGTGTGGATATTCTTAAGAATTTATTTAAAATATTATAGCAAGTCTGTTCAAGTATTGTTTAGAATAAAGTCACTCATTTATTAATTATTGTTGCTTTGGTTACATATTGTCAAATCAGCCCTGTATACATGTGTGATTATTAAGATTCAGACACTAACTATAGTTTGATGCATCCATTGTCTCAATTATCAACTTGTGAATTTATCATGTATTATTGTGAATGAGATGAGCGCTTGTTGTACGTAGAAATAAGATAAAATTGTTTTTCATTCCATACTGAAAGTAAAGTAAATGAAATTTTGTATAACAAATGTTACTGAGATTTCTGTTGTCTCTTAATAACTGATCCTAATGTAGATATTGGAACATCATACAGTAATATTTAAACTATACGGAAATCTCCGACATGGATAAACCCTACCTAAAGGCTAAACACGACTTGTACAGTTTTCAAAGATCTAAAAGTTCATCTAGATCAGAGGAAAGCAATCAATTTATGAATACACTGAAAATTTAAAGACACATTATGCTTCAGAAATAGACTTTTTTTCTCGGAAAGAAAAGGCAAATATAATGTTATAACGTTTAAATAATGGTTTATTGGCATATAAGATGTTTATCTAATTAGCACTTCAAATGTGACGTTACTGGTCATAAAAGTAACAAAAATGTAAACAAAGTATTTTGCCTTCCATACAAAATACTACATTGTAAATCATTATTATTTTACTGATTAAAAAGGCAACAGAAGCAAAAGTCTGCTCATGTATTCGGCCAATGAGTAACTGTTTGTGATTTCAATCAGGACACTTAGAATACAAAAGTTTTGAGAAATAAAAATATAAGTATTTCTGGGGCATAAAGGGACCTTTAAACATATTTGATTTCTCAGAATATATATACATGTTTCAATTTACAATATAATTCTTCTCCTTACCATTGATACAGGAAGTACACCTAATGAATACCACTACCAAATGGGTACTTCGTAATAATAATCCACGTGAAAATCGTGTATTTTAACGGGCACGGTTATCTTTAGTTAGTTTCTTAATAAAACGTTACATGATGTTTTATGTTCATTTACGCACACAATGTGTCAATAGTTTTTCAATGTGCGTTCAATTTTGTTTATCATTATTTGTATGTATCTTCCTTTATTGCTTATATAAGGTTGAACAACTTTTTAAAATATTCTTCAAATATTTGGCGTCACGGTTTACAGTACAAAATTGTGCATAATTAAGATGGTATTTGTAAACAAATGGTGACTACAAAGGTATTTATCTCGGTCATATGTCTTACAATTTGTACAAAATAAATGAGAATTGTTTGAAAAGTAGACGGCGGTTATTAGGTTGACATAAAATCTCACATTAAAACCTGTATACGGCTTCACACTTATATGTAAATTGAATAGAAACGAGGTTATGTACAAAACAGTCAAGTTAAAGGTAGTTATATGAAAAAGTATCAACATCTGTGTTTTGTTAAAGGAATTAAAGGATACAGGTACATATTGTTTATAATTTAATAAATCTGTTGTTGTTAGTTTTAATTTCTATAAAACTATGGTAGATTAGTTAATACAGTAGATGCAAACTGTATCAGAATTCAACACATTTGAGAAATTCATATAGAATGTGAAATAATAGATGCCAGTACATTTAGAGTATTTTAGAGTATTTAATATAAAACTTTACACTCTTTGCTTAGTATTGTGTGTGTGTGTGTGCGTGCGTGCGTGCGTGCGTGCGTGTGTGTGTCGTGCGTGCGTGCGTACGTGCGTGTGTGTGTGTTTATATATTGTTTAGAAGTTAAGATATGTTTTTGCGTTTTACGATAGTGTATCTTCATGTGTTACCTTCTTTAAATAAGATTATTATTATTATTATTATTATTATTATTATTATTATTATTATTATTATTATTATTATTATTATTATACTAGTTGGTTCCAGGAACGAAATTTTAATAAGCTTTCAGCTTCCAACACTAAATTAGTATAAACAAAAGGTTGACGGTTGTATTAATACATAAATATGTAACTTGATTTCTCTCGAAAAGTAAATTCTGAAATGTAACAGATTAGAGATATCTTACAACAGTACATACATGCCGCTCAATTTACGTAAACATTTGATGTTGTTTTTTTTTTGTTTTTTGTTTCTTTTTTAGATATTGTAAGTTATTGATGTAGTTGTCACTACAACTGTCACAGGAAGCGTGCTCCCATGTTTAACGTGTCATTGTGTACATAGCTAAATTATCCAAATAATGTTCTCGTCAATTGGAGCATACTACATCAGGTGCATTGTTGTTGATGCTCGTTAACGTGTACAACATAACATATTTAAATGAATGTAAGAAAATGACAACGTACTCGTAAATAACAGAATTTAGATTATTAATCCCTGAAACTGATCTCATTTTTATGCATACATACATGTATAGGTTTTCATGCATACATTTTATAATAATCTCACACACGATGATTTGAATGTGTCTGAACTGAAGTTTCATTTAAAGATGACATTACACCGCACGTTCATATACTTCATCACAGAACTTTTATCCAGCTAAATTTTTAAACCATTGCAGCGTGTTTTTTTTCTTATTTTGTAAAAGGTGGTATTTATTGTTAGGACTTTATCACGTGGTTAGACTTACAAAAGGCGGTGCCAAACCCATCTCCGAAATAATGATGTTCGTGTTTGCTTCACCTTTTTTCTAAAAGAAAACAACACTAATCAGAAATGAATCACTTGTAATATACGGGCAATGTGCCGGAAGTCACCTACATCCTTGTGCGTGAAGCTTGATGGCACATTCAGTGGAGAATGGAGGCAGTTTTATTACAATTTACAAAATAATATTTATAATACATGTATAAAATAATAAATGGCAAGCTGCTATTGTTCCAGTGTAAACTGTCAGGTATATACATCTTATTGTGTAACGTACATTAGTGTTCAACATCATTTGCCGATCAATGAAATTGCTCCAATTTTCATAAAAATGCCCATTAGTTTTAATCGTATAGGCAGGCAAATTTTGTGAACACTTAATAATTAAGGGTATGGAACGAAGAGCTCATGTGTAAATTAAGTAGCAGAGAAGGGCTTACTGATGAAATGTGCTCCAAAAATTCCACCCATTGTACTTTTTATATGGCGGGGTCAAATGAGGTTAAACTCTAAGTAAGTTAGTTTTTATTAAGTGAACATTTTAATAATTAAGAACCGATCATCGCTCCCTACCGGTCGCTTCCTTTAGGGTTCTTAATTGTTAAAATTTCACTTAATAATTACAAAAATGTACATAGTTACGTAAACAACTGAATCACCGGACAACACCGCGTATACCTCTTGTGATTTAACGATTATGAGAAAAATGTATATTTGTAAATATGAAGTGGAATCCACTCACCAATAATACGTATATTATATAAAATATATTTATAGAAGTTTCTTTTTAGTACAACAATAGGTATTATATTTTTTTCGACAGAAAACACTCCCATGGTACAACAAACATAAAGTACTGATAATTAGTATATATACTTGAGGTAAGAGTACTTTATAGATCGGTATTTCCTTAATTGATGGTAAAACACTTCAACGAATTTCTCATTAAATACCTTCTCGAGGTTCATCTAAAGTTTGCCCTCAACAGACTTTCAATATATAAATACACCTAAATCTGAATAAAATATCTACAGAAATGAAATGAACATGTTTGTATGCTTCGGGATTTTACATATAATTTATAACCAAGTTCAGCAGTGTACTTAAAGTGAAGGGTCTGCTTCCTTTAAAATAATGATATTTTAGAAGAACAAGTCATTGAAGTAAGAGAACAATGCATCAGGCATGAGAAGTTTCTTTTTTTTTCTAAGTACATAAATGTACATAGACTATAAAACAAGACATAATATATTATAAACCAACAATTTAATACTTAATTTTAACTTAACGTGGAAGGACTTACTACGTCATCTTGACCTTAACGCTCATTACATTTTTTCCTTGTTTTATAAAGAAACTTTGGTAAAGTGCTATCATATGAAGGGCCTGTATTTGAGTAAAAGCGGTACTTGAATATAATCTTGTTTGATTCCGGAGTGTATATTTTGTAAAACATATTTTGAGTCACGTCGTGGTTAAATGTTACGGAAACTGCATGATGGCAAAATATTAAACACGTGTGGAGTTGTATTTCGTTTGTAGGATAGTACATGTGTATGTGATATAAAAGGATTATTTCAAAGGTTGAAATGTAAATAACATACTTTACTTATTTATTTCTGTTTGATACGCATATATATATATATAACATTAATAATACACATGTAACCAATATACCATATCATATACATTGTATATATATATATATATATATATATATATATATATATATATATATATATATATATATATATATATATATATATATATAAAAAAGTATGTTTTTGGGAAATGCACAGTACAAAGTTCTTTAATTTTTTATACGTTTATTTCTGTTAGCGCTTTCAAATGTTTCTACATATCTTCAGACAGTAACGTATAATATAAACATAACAAATATAACAATGACGTAACGTTATAAAAGTGCGGGAAACGTAAAAAATACGACGTTGCGCTGGAAATGAGATATTCTTTTACCTTCTATATAAGAAGTATGAAATCGCTACAAAAATACATAGGGTAAATATTCTATAAAGGGAGGTAATAAATAAGTATTAAAATTCAAAGCATTGAGTAATTTTAGAAGTAGATACAACGTTTGCATTACCTATAAATACTTTTTAATATTAGTGAGCTAAAAAACGAGTAAAAATATGTCAGAAAATGTTTTACTTGAAACTATGTGGAAATGGAAAAATATTTACTTATATAAATGTAAAGATTTTGCATGAACCTTTACATAGACTAAATAAAGGGAGGTAATAAATATGCTTTAAAATGAAAAGCATTGACTTATCATAGAAGTAAATGCAAAATTTGTATTACTAATAAGTACTTTTTTATACGAATTATCTAAACGAGTAATAAAATATCAGAAAGAAAAGTAACTTAAAACCATGTGGAAATGTAAAATAATTATTATATATAAATACCCAAGTTTATTGTTGTAGGTTAATGTGAGCTGTTTAATTGTGGCTTTAATATGCTTATAAGAAATAATTCTTTTTCATCTCTGAAATGATCATCAATCTTCAGTACTTTATATAGGGGAAATATATTAAACTTTCCCCCTGAACACTCATGTAGATGTTTATTCACCTTAAGAAAACGAAGTGACTCTGTATTAGTTTGTTGTCTATGTAAATTCTTTCGTATGTTTAATTCATTTCTTGTTTGTCCGATATAAAATGAATAATAATTAGGACAAATAATACTTTAAATTACATTTTTATTTATACAGGTACTGTGAAATTTTTCCCGTTTGTGAAGTGAATTGTGTTACCTTCGATAATTGAAGGGCATGTCTTACATCTGGTTCTATAACACTTTGCTATAGACGGAGTTTCCACTTTCATATCAAATCTAGCGGGATATAAAATCTGTAGTAAGGTTTTCGTCTGTCTTTTACTGATTATTACTCTTTTCTTTTGTATTACATACTTCATTCTTTCACTCTTTTGTAAAAATGTTTTACAAGAATTTATAACTGGGGACATGTTTGTATTTCTGGGGTTGTGTGTTGAAACGAAAGGTAAAACATTATGAGCGGAAGTACAAGTGTCTTGACGATCAGTGGTCTAAATTGTTCCTTTAGATATAGTCTGCTCTATTCAATGTTGTATAAGTACATTTAAATTATTCTGTTCTTTTAACTGTAAATTCAATTATGTTAGACGCTTTTCTTGTAAGTCTTTATTTTTCATGATTGCAATGATTCCTGATGCTAAATTGATTTGTATGTTAACTTTAGTATGCTTAGGATGACATGATCTAAAATCTAAATAGTTGTGTGTATCCGTAGGTTTTACAGTATAAATCTGTAGAAATGTTATTTCCTGACTTCAAAACAAGAATATCCAAAAAAGCCATCGCAGTTTCACTTTCATTATATGTGAATTGTATACTTTGATGCAAGTTATTAAGTTCGTTTAAAAAATCAGACGTGTAAATTTCTTTTGGTAAAATTAAAAAGCAATCGTCAAGAAATCTCTTCCAGTTAAGTCTTAAATAGCTTGAAAATTCATTGTTGTATTTAGTTTTCATCCTTTCATAAAGAGTTTCTTCTAAGTATCCGAGGACTAAGGTAGCGTAAGTTGGAGCGATAATAGTACCCATAGCTGCACCTTTTTTCTGAATATAGTATTTTCCGTCGAAGTAGAATACGTTGTTGTACAAAATAAGTTTTAGCGATTTTATTATGAAATTATGTTGAAATCGTTTGTCTATCTTTTCTGGCATTTTTTCCATCCAGAATATCACAGCTTTCAATCCAAGATCGTGGGGAATATTGGAATATAAGTTTATTACATCGAAAGTGACTAGTTTAGATTCATGATCTTTTATGTGTTCTGGTAAATATTTCAGAAAGTCTAAATCATCTCTAATAAAACTAGGAACACATTTACATAGAGGTTTAAGAATTATATCTAATAGTCGGCTGAGTCTTGATGAAGATTGATGATCATTTCAGAGATGAAAAAGAATTATTTCTTATAAGCATATTAAAGCCACAATTAAACAGCTCACATTAACCTACAACAATAAACTTGGGTATTTATATATAATAATTATTTTACATTTCCACATGGTTTTAAGTTACTTTTCTTTCTGATATTTTATTACTCGTTTAGATAATTCGTATAAAAAAGTACTTATTAGTAATACAAATTTTGCATTTTACTTTCTATGATAAGTCAATGCTTTTCATTTTAAAGCATATTTATTACCTCCCTTTATTTAGTCTATGTAAAGGTTCATGCAAAATCTTTACATTTATATAAGTAAATATTTTTCCATTTCCACATAGTTTCAAGTAAAACATTTTCTGACATATTTTTACTCGTTTTTAGCTCACTAATATTAAAAAGTATTTATAGGTAATGCAAACGTTGTATCTACTTCTAAAATTACTCAATGCTTTGAATTTTAATACTTATTTATTACCTCCCTTTATAGAATATTTACCCTATGTATTTTTGTAGCGATTTCATACTTCTTATATAGAAGGTAAAAGAATATCTCATTTCCAGCGCAACGTCGTATTTTTACGTTTCCCGCACTTTTATAACGTTACGTCATTGTTATATTTGTTATGTTTATATTATACGTTACTGTCTGAAGATATGTAGAAACATTTGAAAGCGCTAACAGAAATAAACGTATAAAAAATTAAAGAACTTTGTACTGTGCATTTCCCAAAACATACTTTTTTATACATGAGATCCACACAAGGAATCGAACTTCTTTTTTTGTATATATATATATATATATATATATATATATATATATATATATATATATATATATATATATATATATATATATATATATATATATTATATGTTATTTTGGTTTTGGAGTGATATATGTGGATATATTACCTGTCAAGATTTTATATCACCCGAGCCGTCAGGCGAGGGTGATATTTTATCTTGGCAGGTAATATATCCACATATATCACTCCAAAACCAAAATAATAATTTTATTACCCTTTCCCTGCCGAGTTAAGACGATTTTGAAATAAATCATTGCTACATCAAATGAAACGTCGAAATAAGATTCCCTTTAGGGTACCCCTTCATCACTACATGACGCCACATAAATACATGACGTATTTTCTTTCGAATCTAACGAATGTAAACAAGAGAAAAGGAGTAGTCTGTTGAACGCACTTTTTTGAAATTAATATCAAGCTTTCACAAGGTCATATTTGTTTTTAATACTTATGAGAATATGTATGATTTCTCTATTTTGGTAAATATTTATCATTTGACAGTTAAAAAGTGCTTGTAAATCGGAATTTACATCGCGTAAAATCAAACCGTACGCGCATCGCCATAGCGCATGTTGTTTAGAACGTGGGGTACCCAACGGGGAAATTTAGTGTGTATATTACCCGTCTGGCTCGGTTATATCAATTTCTTTCGGGTGATCAATATCCAATCAAAAAGGCGGAAAAAATCTGGAAGGGTAATATATATATATATAATATATATATATATATATATATATATATATATATATATATATATATATATATATATATATATATATATATATATATATATATATATATATAATGTATATATAAAAAGTAACTAGTGCACAAAATAATAAATTACTGTAGTTCCTATCTTTTCACAGTCTAATATTTTGTTATTACAGATAGCAGTGAAGGAGAAAGAAGTTTCTGTCTGTCTGTCTGGATGGTCATTTGATAGAGAGAAATGTTGTATGTTATATATATAATACATTGTTATATATATTATAACTTTTGAGAAAAAAAAGAAGAAATTTAACAGTAATAATTGAGCTTTTAATAAGTGACCCCAACTAGGTTTTTTGAAAGCTATTTTTCCGATATTAATTTCAAGTAACATTTGACGCAGGTCTACACCATTCGCTTACTCCCATTTTTCTGGAATAGTCGTTTTTGTTATGCAAAGTGGCTCGACATTAAAAATCTCTAAACGATTTTTACTCAAATCATGCAAGAATCGCACAAAACAAATCAGACATAAATCTGAGCATATTTTATCATGCATTTTTCTGTCCCTTTGTGAGACTTTTGGACCTCATTGGAGTACTTTTAACGTAAATAAGGAATAAACCTAGTTGACTCTGTACATACAGATTATAATATATCTTCCTTGTTTTAAAATGTTACTTCGACGTTTTTCTTTCTTTTTAAATCTTATTTTCCCTCAACATTATAATTAAAGAGAATTAAAAGACTTTTTGATAAAACAAAATGTTCTGTCGCTTTAATGACACAATTTTGAAGAAGTCGACTTTTGAACTTTACATTTCAGACTCAGAGTGAACAACGTGAACACAGATACACATGAACAGTAGATATATAGATACAGCTTTACCTAGAGAAGATTTCATACAGACACATTTCTATGACTAATGTTAAAAGCGAATTATTGTTTGGAAAATGTTAATTATGAATGACAGCTATATATCTACATGAGATAAACCACCTGCTATTATTCTATTAGAGGTATACAGTATTTAACGGGTCAGTTTCCATGTTGATCACCTCAAACAGATACATTAGATAAGGAATCAGCTTATTATAACAGCATGTTTTTCTCGTGATTCACATCCTCGGACACATGTGTGCATAAATCTAACAACCTCTCTACTCTAACTGAATATCTCTATCCTTTGTCTTCGTAAGTTCCAAAAGAATTAACCACTGGGATTTTCTCCTATCGAATTGTTGAAACGTTATTAAACATGTGAAATATTTTGACGAAACATGGTCTATAGTTTTATCAAATCTGATGTAGTGAAATACAAGGATTAAATGTTACCTGACTAGGAAGATATTTTGATTTTTTGTGGTAAACAAAGTTAAGTATATGTGATTGATATTCCTATAGTTCATATATATCAACATAGAAGTTGTGAAACTTAAAACTATTTTAGTTATTCATCGGGATGAAAAGTAAATAATAAATATCGCATAAGGAAGAAAACTGATCTGATTTAAGATACGTGATACGTGAACTACATTATTTTATATACTTTTTAGAACAAGAATTTAGTAAGATGTCGTGTGAGGTATAACCTACATTAAAAACTTGCCACTCAAACACAGGATTTACAGTTTAATCTTATAAACATTATAAAGGTGAATGAAAATTACACACAGATTCCCTTTAAAGCTATTATAATTGAAAAATGGATTTAATTGATGAAAGTTTACAAGACAGGAAAATGTCGACTGTGACGGTGAATACAGATAGTGGTATCAGTTCAATATGTAACGAGGAGAATGTTTGTGAGGTAGACATACCGGATATATCACCAACAAGTCAACATTTCCCTGACGCCCCAGATGCAAAACCAAAATCTAGAATGTCCATAGACGAATATGGACAAAGAAACATGGATCTAGGTAAATTCATGGCTTCAACAACAGTACGTTCGCGCAGATCATGCTCGCTTCCGGATATACTGGACTTTGACAATATTGAGTTCTATGAAGAAAATCCTGAACATTCCACATATTGCCCTCAAAGTTCTGCCAATTCATCAAAGGACAGTTTGTCAATTGCCACTGTGGATACACGGAAAACATCAACAACAAGTTTAGGAAGCTTTCAGCTTTGCGGCAAAGAGCACATGGAAAAACCTTGTTATATATGTTTGAAAGATAACGAGATATATTGTAGCGTCTGTGTCCAGGTCCATAACTTTCACTGTAAAGAAAACGTTAAACATATTCCAGAAATTCCACCCGAAATGAGGACAAATTTATGTGGGGAGGCAATGAAAGAACTTATTGTGATGAAGGAACGTTTTGATAAAGTAAAAGCCGAAAATGAAAAGTATATTCAAAATTTAGAAGATTCACGCAAGAAATTTTTACGGTCTGTAATGAAATATAAAAACACTATCATAGAGGTAATTGATAAACTAGAAAAAGAGGCATTATCTCAAATGGATGACCTATATGTAAAAGAAAAAAAGAAATTAGATGAAAATTTACACAAACTGGAAAAAGAAATAACAAACATTGAGAGTTACCTAACTATTCTTGAACAATGTATGAAAACAAGTGAAAATTCAGTAGTTTATGAACTGCAGGGTGCAACAGAACAACTTCGAGTAGATGAGAGTTTGATACGGGATCTTCACAAGTCCACCAGTATTGTCGAATTTGAATTCGAGCCCTCAGCTGACATGCTAGCTACGTTAACAAAATTTGACAAGTTGTGGAAGGTAGAGAGAAATGAGAAAATGTCTTGTACATTTCCTCGTCCCTGTTCATGTGACAAATCTTACACAAATAAGGTCAGGCTTTTTTTAGTTTAATTAGACTGATTCTTAATGTTATTTTGACAACCAAATGTTAACATAAAACCATCTACTGCTATGTTGTATTATCAATTAGTCTGTCATATTGAGACAAGTACACTTGACATTGCACTTACTGGTGTGTTTCAGCATCCGCTCTATTGATATGGCTCGTTGGTCTATATAAACCTTACATTGTTTAATATTATACAATAGTGTTAACTTATTTAGCAAGTTTTGACATATGGTGCGTAGTAAGACTAAACTAAGTACATGTATCTGAACTAAATTATAGAGGATTTTTTTTTCTTCTTATGGTTTGTCCTATTTGCTATAAATCTGACTGTTGTATGTGAAACAACACACCCGATGACCTACAAGTTACTCGCACAAAATAATTAATTACCAATAACTTACTGTAGTTCCTATCTTTTTACAGTCTAATATTTTGTTATTACAGGTAGCAGTGAAGGAGAAAGAAGTTTCTGTCCGTCTGTCTGGATGGTCATTTGATAGAGAGAAATGTTGTATCACTGGTTGTGAATTCCTACCAAACGGACAACTTCTGGTCTGTGATAATGGAAACAAAAAAGTAAAGCTGTTTGATAAGAAGTTTAAGTGTATTTCTGTTCATAACTTGCATTCTTTGCCATGGGATGTAGCTGTAATAGATAAAGAACGCGCTGTGGTAACGATTCCAGACCGGAAACAGCTACAGTTCATTGGTGTTCATCACCGTATATCAATAAAGGAGTCGGTAACATTGGATCAAAACTGCTGGGGTGTATCCTACAGTGAAGGACAGCTTTTCGTCACGTCCTGGTCACGTGATAAAAAGGAGGTTGTTATTTTAGATGTTCACGGAACACCCAGACGTCTTATTGTTACAGTTCAGAACCAACCGTTCCACACGCCGTGGTTTGTCGACGGAAACGGTGACACTATGTTTGTGTCAGATTGGGGCACGTACTTAGTGCAAGGGGTGACCACTTCCGGTATTGCTTTGTCAAAATATAGAAAAAGTAATTTGGTTGGTCCATTAGGTATGTGTCGTGATCCAGATGACAATTTGTTTATATGTGGCAGAGACTCTAACAATATACATCAGATTTCAGCAGACGGGAGTGAGCAACGAGTTTTCCTAACCGAAAAAGATGGCATTCAGCAACCGCTAAACATCTCCATCCGTGCAGCAGACGATAAACTTGTTGTGACGTCATGGATGTCGGATAGGCTTTTTGTGTTCCGATTGCAATGAAATCACTCAGACTGTCAAGAAGAACAAAATAATAACTATCAAATTGTATTCTATGTTTATTCCTGTATAACCCTAGACTTCTAAACTTAATCATTACAGTTGGTCATCACGACGGTAACGGATTTAATATTAACTCTAGTAAACAAGAACCCCAACAAGACAATACAACGAATACTTAGCTGGAATTGATTATTGTATTTTTATTAATATCAGATGGACTTTTACATATAATTATGTGCATTGATCATATGTCCGGTAGGAATAATTAATGTGGGTATCACAATAATATATATGGAATTATCGTTATTAATCGACAACGCTTGGACCTTTTTGGTTTGGGGGTTGATTATGGCTAGCAGATGACCCCTGGTCAGTAGGTCAAAAGCCAATGTCTCTTTTGCCTTGGGAACAAAAGGCGCGTGAGACAAATAACTAGAGAACGATTTGGCCTTTAGACTTATGAAACGGTTTATATGTTGGTCATGAATAATAGACTCTTACTGATTTTAAGGTTAGTTTCAAATAAATGTTATAATTATAGAATAAAGAAGACCTTTGATTAACATGTGCTTGTAGTCACTAACTTTTCAATTAGGACAGAATATCACAATAGCAGTGACCATGGTGTTTACTGACAAGGAATCCATGTATCATGACTAATTGGTTTCCATGGGATATATAATGAGATAACGAGGAAAATACATTTTAATTATAAGTTAGTTAATTGAAAAATAACTCAAGTACATAGCCTTACTGCATTGTTTTACGTGACTACATTATTATTTATTTTCCTTGTTTTTGATTAAGCATACAAATTGTGTTTTAAGTTTTTATTTAACATTTATGTAATATCTAATTTGACGTAATGTAAAATATACATGTATTTGTTTTAGCTTTGGTTAGCAGACCACGTAGGCTAAATGTATATACATGTATAAACATGTATATGATACGTTTCTATTGGTTGTTCTGTTTGATAACAATTATGTCGTGAGACGATGACTAAAAATTTAAGTTGTAATTACTTATTATACAGTCAGTAAGTAAAAAATAAACGTACAAAAACACTAAGTCTCTCTAACGTTCTTTAACCTCGGTAAAACATTTTAGTAATTGTTCTGGCAGCAACAGCTTGTTTTGTGAGATTTCCCAAAAAGGACTCCATGGTCATACGAGCTCTTGCCAAATTGTCATGGCATTGAGCACGTGTCTGTGCTTTGTTGTTGTTATTTTCGTGCAGATTTTTTACACCAGGATCTACTTTAAGATATTTCAATACGTTTGTCCCTGGTAAAATTCTGACCTAAGTTCGTTAATACAAAAGTCGTTGATACCTAATTAAAATCATTTGGTAGTCGTTAAAAATCCTACGTTAATATAATATATAAACACACTAATCTTTCCAAAGAGCTCTCCCCTGTTCGAAAGATTATTTTTAAAAACTCCATTGATTCTAATCATCAATACATGTAACATACTATTGTCCTTGCAGTTCAAATCTTCAAAAAAAGGCAATAGAAGTCAACCTCATTCAAACTACAAGCCCATTTTATTAAGATGAGTTATGCGTAAGATTATGGAACATATAATTTCCTCTTCCATTGTTAAACACTACACCAACCACCACATCCTCTACCACCACAAACATGATTTCAGGGAAAAGGGTTATGTATTACCCAATAAGTTATGCTGGTACATGACATGGTAGCATGAGCAAGTAGATCTAATCATACTCAATTTCAGAATGGCTTCGATAAGTTCAGGCACGAGACAGTACTGCTGAAAACAACAAGACTACGGAATCAGATGTAAAACTTTCCGGCGGGTCAAAAGCATTACAGTATCAAAAGGCCCAGTCTTAAGACCCCTCCTGTTTCTAGCTTATTTAAATGTTCTCCCACAAAACATCATTTCAAATGTCAGTCTGTTTGCAGACGATACTACAAGGCAGATATCTGCACAACGTCATAACAAGAGCACATCTAAGGCGGGCAAAATACGGCCAAATGTAAATTTTGTCTGAGTAATAAAAAATAATATTTCAATTAGGTTAGAGACCCAATCAAGACACTTGCCTAAAAATGTTTTACCTTACATATCCTTATGATACAATATGACCTCCAAGGTGAAGGCATTTTTTACTTTAAGTACATGATTTAATTTTTTTAGAGAGGGATACTAGGCAATGCTTTATGCCAAATATAGAGGCATAGTATTTATCACGATATTGAACTGTTCAGTAGTAGGGGAGATAGTGTTTAACTGGCGGGAATGCTCAGTCGGTAGAGCCGCGGTACGGTATACCGAGGATCCCGTGTTCGAGTCCTGGTCAGGCTGCACATTTTTCTCACCCTGTGACATTTGGAGGCCAACGGCGGACCGTGACTGCATATAGCTCTGAGTTTAATAAGTATTGCTCGATAACCCTGAGAAATTCGAGGACGAATTGAAATATAGCGGGGGAGTATATCACAGTTCAAAACTGTTCACTAATTAGGGGAGGAAGTGTGTTTACCAGCGGTCAATAGAGCCACGGTACGATATTCCGGGGGTCCCGGGTTCAAGTCCCGGTCAGCCTACACAGTTTTTCTCACTCTGTGGCATTCCAAACACAATATACTACCTTTGTGAAGTCCACTTAGAATCGTTTACCTTATCGTAGGATACCCTCGGCCGAACCATTAAATAAATATGTAAAGATATTTTGCTGTCGACCTAAAAAACAAGCATTCTGCAGATTCATTAACCTTTTTAACAGTATTGTTGTAAATCTCATCAAATAATGTTCATAAATAAGGATTTTAGACGGAAAACCCCACGGTAACACTAAAGTTCGTATACGAATTTTAACATGCAAATGAAGATTATAATCAGCTTGTGTATGCGCTACGTCACAGTGTTATAGCTGCTATCCGGAACACAACAAATATGAGATTTTCTTGTGCAAACACATGTTAACCGTTTAACTTCACGGTTCACCAGGCTTGAGGTTCAGTAAAAAGTAATCATTTCATAAAAAAGATTAAATTTGTATGAAAATATCCGTTACAATGCGGAAATATACCGTTAAATTAGGACTGCTACTTATAGCTATAGTTACTTTATTACGATAATGTTAAACTTAATGTTGTCAATAAATTTTGTTATCTAGGTGTAATGTTATCAAGTAATGGAAAGTTTTATAATGCTCAAAAAACTTTATCTGGGCAAGCACTACGTGCCCTATTTACTCTTAACTCATTATTTGATGTTGTATCTTTAGCTGTCTCACAAAAGTTGAAATTGTTTGATGCAATGATTTGCCAATTTTAAAGCCCCTGATATTGAAAAAGTGTACATAAAATTTCTTAAACAGATATTGCATGTTAGACAGCAAACCACTAACATAACTGTATATGCTGAACTTGGTAAAGTACCATTAGATATAATTAGGAAAGAACGTATTCTTAAATATTGGTGTAAAATTGTGAATTCTCCAAATACAATGGTGCACAAAAGTTTTATAGATAGTAAGCATAACAATGTTAAGTATGGTGGCATATTTCTGCCACCAGATAACCTGATAATTAACTAGTTAATTAAGAGGTTAACTAGTTACGTAACTAGTTAACCTCTTAATTAACTAGTTAATTATCAGGTTAACTAGTTACGTAACTAGTTAATTTTTTCAATAAAGAAAAGATCATAATGGGAAATAAATGCATGTTTGTGCCCGCAACTGCCATCCCTTATTGTCAGCTTAATATTAAGAGGTTAACTAGTTACGTAACTAGTTAACCTCTTAATTAACTAGTTAATTATCAGGTTAACTAGTTACGTAACTAGTTAACCCGTTATCACTTATCTATAAATAGCATTGTTTTGCTCCATTGCATTGTCTCACTTCAGTCATTGCAGACATTAAAAGGGAATTACGTTGTGTTTTTTAAAGTTTTTTTAGTCTTAATTAACTAGTTTGTTATCAGGTTATCTGTTGGCAGAAATATGCCACCATGGGCATTATTTGTTAAATCATTACTAGAAAACTTAGGTTTTGCATATTTATGGAATTGTATTACCATTTCTCAATATCAATTGAATGCTATAATCGAAAGATTGTATAGTCAATATTATCAAGATTTATACTCAATGATTGATACAATGCCAAAACTGAGTACCTATAAAATTATAAAAGATTGCATTGGATTTGAAAAATATTTGACGTGTGTCAAAACTGATGTTTATCGTATTGCATTGACTAGATTAAGATGTTCATCCCATAGACTTGCAATTGAAGAAGGTCGTTTCAGAAATGTTGTAAGAGAAGATAGAAAATGTATATATTGTAAAATGAATGCTATTGAAAATGAATATCATTTTGTTCTTGTGTGCCCGCATTATCGAGATATAAGAAATGCATGTCTCCCTAAATATTATTGCCATTGGCCAACGTCTCAGAAATTTAAAACTTTATTAACTACACAACAGTCGAATGTTTTAAATAAGTTAGCAACATTTATATATTTAGCAAATATAAAACGCACTGCGTTTACTGATTAGATTTATATTAGTTCAAATGTAATACTGTATTACTTTTTTTTTTTTGCATGTAAAGCACATAATTTTGTTTGTGTGGCCTGATAACATGTACCGATCTTGTATTATACATGTTTATAATTATACGACCCAGTAATCGGAATATTTTATCGGACAATGTAGTAGTCACTTGCAAATAAATTTATGTGCTATTAAATTGAAATGTATAAATTTGAGTGTTTCCATATACATATATATTATAATTGACATTTATCATCATTCTTTGTATATAACATACTCTTCTCATGATATTTGTTGCCGCCTAATATATTCATTTAGGCAAAAAACTGTATATAATGTTTATATGCCTAATAAAATATTGAACAATTGAAAATTGAATATAGTCATGATTGTTGGTTTAATATTGATGTACCTGAAGGCGGAGTTTCTCATGCAAACAAATATTGTACATCCGAGTTCGCCACAATGAGGTCGTTCATTTTTTATGCTTATAAAACTTATTTTGGTTATCTGTACACCAAAATAAGATCTGGAGTCGATATGGAACCCAATTTATTAATGAAATGTCGATATTTCTGTTTTTTATGAAATTTATTAAATGTAATTTTAACAGTTATCATTTGACTGCATATACATGTAATGTTATATGTTAATCAACTTGGTTATCCGAAGATGCGTTTACCTATAAGCAAAATACCTAGGTGTGGATATTTCAGATAATTTTACAAAACATTCCAGAGAGTAAAACAAGAAAAGCATTGATGCAAAGCATCAAAGGGCGTCCAAGCAAGAAATGCAGCAGGTGCAGATGAACTAGTAGATATATGATGACAAGATATTCTTATAAACTTTTCAATGGTTCATTGGTTTTTACCAGAATTGTATATCACTTATGAATGAACGGACGAAAGACATTTTTCATCATTTATAACTTTGTTTGGCATGCTAGAAATTAGAATATTACTTGTTATTTCTTTATGATCGTGGTTATTAATAGCAACGGATATGTGTGTGTTTTTGGTTTTATTTATACTGGGCGCCGGTTTCCCATATGTCCCAGACTAGTCGGCCTCTATTACGATTGCTGGTAACGTACATATTTATTGTTTTTATCTCATATTGATAAAATAAAACATGCGATTTGTGTTGTTGGGGTTTTTTTTTTCGAATTGTATGTTTATGTATAATAATAATCAATAAATTTGAGAGTTGATCTGTGTTTATTAATTATTGTAACCAAACTAAGTGACAAACATTCATTTTGAAAAAAAGCTTATTTATCTGTAAAATATTTGTTCTGTTCTGTAACGATATCAAAAATCTACTCCAAAACCGGGAGAGACCGGACAATAAACGTGTGGTACTATTCGCCGGTCACTAGTAAATCCCGGGAGAGACCGGGAATTACCGATAGGAGTACATCCCTCTATAAATAGATTTTCGGAATATTTAGGTCATCAACTTCTTAACAGCTTGCGGAATAATATACCATAATAACCCACTGTGTACTACAAAATGATAAACAAAAATACCCCGAAGAGCGCGATTTATTGACGGAAAAGGTTATTTCATTTGAAAATGTTTGCATTGCGAAATTCTCCAGTTCGCCATTTATTGTACATATCGCGACTAATTAATAATCAAGCACCCTCATACCGATCGGAATGGTCGGCTTTTATTATGAACAACTATAAAAGGCTCGAGAAGTTGCTGTCGCCCTTTCACAAAATCTGATTTCATTCCATAAAAGGTGCCGCGCTTCGGCGCGGACGCCAATAAATAGTATGGGTCCCTACGCAGAAACTTATAATAAGACAAATCACAATCCCTTAAGTCCCATGAGTCCGGAGAAACCCGTTGGATCGATATATTTTAGATCTAAAATAACTAATTATTTCGAGTAAACCGTGACTTTGGTGAACTGTTTTCTGATTGGTCGTTTATTTTAAGATTATTGTCGCGCCAATTTTGTACTTCTAGTCATTCGAGCCTTTGTTGTATAGCTGTCAAGTTTAAGAAATTAAACATACAGAAGTGTAACATTAAACATTTATTTGATTATTTAATAGAGAAATTATTTGTATAAAATGTGTACAGCTAGACATGCCTTTGGCCTAATACTAAAGATGAACTATGTGTGGTGTTTGTTATTTCTTGTTATTAAAGGTCATTGCCCTTTTCTTAAGTAAGGTCCTAGAAGTAATTAAGTTAGATTATGCTCAGTGTTACGGACATGGTGAACTCGGCATAATTGAAATCAGACACAAAGATGGTCTCTGCTATCCCTTTTCTACAAGAGTCACGTTAGTTGCTCGATTGTTATACCCATCAAAGATTACTTGATCCCCATCTCTCTTGAACGTCACGTCATCCCTTGAGCTAATTAAAATAGTTAAAACACCAGACATCTCTCTCTTTCTTAATGGAGTTATTAATTCGAACCGCTTGACCCTCTCAGTTGCCCTACTCGCTTCCCAGAGGCATTGAATAAGTCTCATCCTAGTTTTCTGACCCTTGCTAAAATGTTAAAACATTTTTGATTTCTTTTGGAAAAACAGTTAATGGAATATTTAGTGTAGCAATACCAAATATGATTTTCACATGTGTAAGTTTCTGCTGAGACGCCGTTTTAGACCGGTACCACTAAAATACGCAACGGAGATTTTTTGGCGCAACGGACGCAACGGGCGCAACGGAGATATTTTTTTTAGAAAAACCGCCACAACGCCTTTTTTTAAAGTCAATTTGCTATATTTAAGCATCTAAAATGATTGTTTAGCACTATTAAGTAAGTATGTTTTAAAATCTTTCATAAATTGTATATGTTTAATTGCACTGAAGGGTTATATGTCTGGCGAAATGGAAATTTCATGGCGCAACGGAGATATTTTTTAGAAAAAACCGACACAACGCCTTTTTTAAAGTCAATATGCTATATTTGAGCATCTAAAATGATTGTTTAGCACTATAAAGTAAGTATGTTTTAAAATGTTTCATAAATTGAATATGTTTACACTGAAGGATTATATATGCCTGGCGAAATGGAAATGTCATGGCGCAACGGAGATAAGTTTGGAAAATCGGCACAACATATGTACTGATATATGAAATTAATGAACACCAATGTTATTTGAATAAATAAATTAAAAAAAAGATATAAAAACTTTAATCGTATATCAAATAGCTGCAATGTTGATGTTGTAAAGGATTGTGTGACGGCGAAATGGACATTTTGTCTGCGCAACGGAGATTTTTTTTTTTTGGCGCAACGGAATTTAAAAAGAAAACAATGTTTGTCCTAATTAAGTAGTAATATGAAGAAGTAAATCATTAAAGATATTAACTGAATTACTGAAGTGGTGTAATAAAAGTCTGTAAAAATATATTTAAATTACGGCGAAATGGACACATTTCGGCGCAACGGGGATTATCATAACAGTTTTATCATATTATATTATTTTATTAATTTATTATCTTTCATTAATCATTGTATACATCAAAGGCAATCCAAATATTTCATAATTATGATATTGACAAAAGGTAATCAATTACGCGAAAATTGTTAGCAATTAGCAACGTATCGTGCACGTGTATGGCACGGGTGTTTGATGTTTTTAACTCTTGTAATAGAAAACTTGGCCGTCATCAGTGGCGGATTCAGGCTCCAAAATGTTTTATTACGTCTCACGTTTCATATACACATTTTTCTCATACTTTGAGTGAAATATTGGCGTAATAAGCTTCAAAAGCAATATTTTCGACAATAACAAGTTATATAAAAAAATTTAATACCTTAAAGTCAATACATGTTCCTCTTAATCATATTATCTAAATGGTGTGAAAACGCGTGTCCAATAAACATCAACCACGTGTCATTGGTAATTTAATTATCGGTACTTAACACCCGTGATAAACATTCTGCCAATCACCAAATTGCTGTTGTTTCGTTAAATAAACAGTAGCTGTATTTGATTTTAACGGGGTTTTCTGATTGGGGAAGGAATTGTTATAAGAAAAGTTCAATTTAATTATTTTATGTTTTTTACTGTTTGGAAATAGAAAGAACAGCAAATTCTACATGCATTTCGTTTTACTATTTAATAATGTCATCAAACAATTAATAATTTGTATAGTTACTATTTTTAATTTTAAAAATGCATAAAATATTTCAATCATTACTAAAAAAATAATGTAATATGGTTAGCAAATTGCTTGCTACTGGTCATGCTTTTAACGAATAAAGTGATTTGCTTATTTATTCCCGGCAGCAGAAATAAGAAAATAATTTTTACAGTTAAAAAATTTTAGTATCAAATTTAAACGAGTACTATTTTAGTCACAGTAAAAATGGTGCACAAAAGTATAATAATATTAAGCAAATACTTACATGTTTGATATTTATGCACTGTTTAAAATGAACGAACACTATTTATGAAAAACACCCCTCTTTGAAGCAATTTGGTTGTCTGCAGCTTAAAAATTGTGCTTATTCAAATACTTTTGTTAACGGTCAATGTTTGAAGAAGAGAACAGAACAGAACATATCTTTTATTCACCCAGGTACAAGAAGATATCATATCGTACAACATGGGGTTATTACGAAATTTACATGAACACAAAATAATACAGTATGTTTGAGATGAAATGTGTTGCGTTTCATGTAATTAAGCGCTGTAATACAAATCTTTTGAATAAAGATATGAATTCGTTTTCTTAAGTGTTACATGTCATTGATGAAAGTCATTACAATATTTAACGTAAATATAACGTATTACACGGGAAAAAAAGAAACATATTTAAAGACTCATATTTATCTTCGAATATCAGCCGTGACGGAAATAAACGTATTTCTTTGTGCAGCAGTAAAGCCATTAAGCAGCGTTTTGTTGAAATTTGGTAATTTATTGTTAAGATTACATTAGAACGTCCACAGCGTATGCATTACGGACTTTTCGTATTCTTCAAGTAAAATTCTGAAAATTATGTATAGAAAAGCTATTACAGTACATGTACTTTTCGTAAACATAACGAATTGAACGGGAAAAAAATGAAACAGATTGTAAAATCCATACTTGTCTTCCAGTGTCAGCCATAACGATAAAACGTATTTAATTCCAATTTTAAATTAATAAAACAGACCTTTATTACACCACTTCAGTAATTATGTTAATATCTTTAATGATTTACTTCTTCATATTACTACTTAATTAGGACAAACATTGTTTTCTTTTAAATTCCGTTGCGCCAAAAAAAAAAATCTCCGTTGCGCAGACAAAATGTCCATTTCGCCGTCACACAATCCTTTACAACATCAACATTGCAGCTATTTGATTATTTGATATACGATTAAGGTTTTTAATTTTTTTTTTAAATTTATTTATTCAAATAACATTGGTGTTAATTAATTTCATATATTAGTACATACGTTGTGCCGATTTTCCAAACTTATCTCCGTTGCGCCATGACATTTCCATTTCGCCAGGCATATATAATCCTTCAGTGTAAACATATACAATTTATGAAACATTTTAAAACATACTTACTTTATAGTGCTAAACAATCATTTTAGATTCTCAAATATAGCATATTGACTTTAAAAAAAGGCGTTGTGTCGGTTTTTTTCTAAAAAATATCTCCGTTGCGCCATGAAATTTCCATTTCGCCAGACATAAAACCCTTCAGTGCAATTAAACATATACAATTTATGAAAGATTTTAAAACATACTTACTTAATAGTGCTAAACAAATCATTTTAGATGCTTAAATATAGCAAATTGACTTTAAAAAAGGCGTTGTGGCGGTTTTTCTAAAAAAAAATATCTCCGTTGCGCCCGTTGCGTCCGTTGCGTCAAAAAATCTCCGTTGCGTATTTTAGTGGTACCCGTTTTAGACGCTTACAATTTGCAAACATTTTAAAGATAGTGATGTAAAAAAAATAAAAAGTTAAAATATTTGTTGAAAATACCTTAATACGCTAAAATTTTAATATTTCCGATGAATAAGTTGTACTATTTTCGAGTTGATTTTTAAAGAGCTACCATTGAAAAGGTAATCATGCCGCTGGTAAACATGAAGAAGGCCAGCAAAGCGGCAGCTAAGTCATCCGGAAAAAGTTTTTCTGTCCGAGTTCAAACAATGGATGCAGAGCTTGAGTTCGCAAATATTGAAGTAAGAAATAGAAATAATAAATATGTACATCACTGCAGTATATTTAAAAATTATAGATTGTAGGTAACAATCTGTTTTTATTTAGGGCTGCAAGGATACACCAAAAGTTTGATCCGATTCGATTACAGACACCCCGATTCGATTTTTTTTGCGATTCGATAGGTTCTACATGTGTAATTACTATTTAGTCTTCAGTTGAAAATTCTGGTTATTTGCTGTAAAAGTCAGTAGTCCTTGACAATTTTTTATTATTAAAGTGGTTTATTTCAAATTTATATTTAGAAAACAATTCTAATCAAACAAACTATCACAATAATTAATTTAATGTGATTAGTAATCTTATAAATCTGACTTTTTCTGAAACTAAAACTAGGCTTTTTATATACATCAACAACAGGATACTTCTTTCTTTTCATGTGTCATGCACCACGGCTTGTATTAAACAGAAGCCATGGTTGCATCAAGTTAGTTGTACCACGGAGCTTGACATTCTATCAATAATTGAAAAATATAAGCAAATTATTAAGAAATAATGGCAAATATACCTCTTTACACAATAAATAAATTATTGATAAGTAATAAATACGTTATTGATAGAATGTCAAGCTCTTGTGGTTGTACTTACCAACTTCGGACATGACGCGCCGGCAAAGCATATCTTACATGTCACAAGCTCGAATTTTGAAAGTTCGGGTCGGATGAGAGAAAATGTTGTTGAAACATCCCCAGCAGGATTAGTAAGATTCTCCAGATCCTAATGACGTTTCACTAAACATTTAATATGAAAGTAGGCAAAGCCTTTGAACAGGAAAGTCGAATAAAAATATTTGTTCATTTTTTTTATTTTACATAATTTTCCATTTTAAAAACAGCATTTGGTTTTTTATGTACTGCTTCCATCTAGACTGATCCCCAGAGCACTTCATCTTGGATGGACACCATAGTCATGATAGTAGGACAGGGAATTAAAATTTATAGATAATGTGTATTAGAAAGACAGTGTCAGGGATTTACCAACCCTTTTTATATTAGGGGTCCATTGGACGCAGGATCTATAAAAACAGGGGTCCACCACAAAGTTTTGGGAGTCCACTCCCAGACAATTTTCGAAATTGCTGACTGCTCACAGAAGAAGTATACTAAGATTGCAATATAAATGACTATTGTAAACAATTTTAGATTTATTTCTCAAACAAAAACAAAAAACAGCTTTTTAGTATTTTGACTAGAAACATTCGTTCATTCGAAGCTCTAGTGTAATCACTTGTATCTACCTAACCAGACAGACCGGAATGTTGTGTCACTTTTCTGTTTTGTGGATTGTTAGATGATGTACTCGTTCAGTTACAGGTGACGAGACAGGCTCATTGTCATCTCATTTTTTTTTCGGACCACCCCCACCCAAAAACTTCTTAAGCCATCGTTTAAATTGAAAGTATTATCATAGTTAAAGGTAACAACCGAATGCTTCGACTGATAATAATATCCGGGACACGTGGGTGCTCATTAATGATTGGTTGGTATTTTGAATGCAGACATTAACTAGCCAATAAACTGACACGTTACTATAAATACCAATTGGTGATTCCCATGACCTTCACCAGTCACCACTAACCAAAACATTTTAGATATCGTAAAAATACGGAAAGAAGAGTTACTCTTAACAATTTTTGTGTGGTCACGATACTAAGTATTTATTTTAGAGTATGGAAATGACAGGTACTTTAGACAATTTTCTGCGTCCATGTGTACGAAGAATTTATTTTTGTGCGTACAGGATGGCATTTTATGCGTATATGACGCAGGATCCTGCGTCCGGTAAATCCCCGAGTGTGTAAATAATTTTTTTCTAGACATGTTAAAGTAAATAACAAGTGCAAAGCCAAGAAAACCAATTAGGAGGCTGATGAACGTCTTTATATATTTAAAAAGTAATATGAAAAAGGACTTGTTTAAATTTTCAGGATAGTAAAACTGGTACCAGTTGGCTATATGACATTTTATTTTTATTGACAAAGCTTGATTGGCTATGACCATAAAAATTGTGAATATATCTTGTTATGAATACATTAAACTTTTTAAATTAAATTTATGAATTTTGTTTGTTTACAGCACAAGGCATCTGGCAAAGAGCTGTTTGAACTGGTCTGCAAGACAATTGGTCTAAGAGAAACATGGTATTTTGGTCTCCAGTATATTGATTCTAAAGGCTATATAGCCTGGCTAAAGTTTGATAAAAAGGTTTGTTCATTACATAATTGCTTTTACCTCACCTTACAATATTTATGAGACAAATCTTAGACTTTCTGTTAGTAGGCCCTTGAAATAGTACCCAGCCATGGGAACATATTTTAAGATTAAGTTAAGTTAGCTGCAACAATGATATGCATGATGATGATATAATGGTTTAGAGATAGGCTCATCTATAATAATCAATGGTATAGAGAAATGGTATTGAGAAAGGCCAGTTTATAATGGTGTAGAGATAGGCCAGTCTAAAATGGTATAGAGATAAGCCAGTCAAAATGGTAAAGAGATAGGTCAGTCTATAATGGTGTAGAAATAGGCCAGTCTACAATGGTCTAGAGATATGCCAGTCTATAATGGTGTATAGATAGGCCAGTCTATAATGGTGTAGAGATAGGTCAGTCTATAATGTTATAGAGATAGGTCAGTCTATAATGGTGTAGAGATAGGTCAGTCTATAATGGTGTAGAGATAGGTCAGTCTATAATGGTGTAGAGATAGGCCAGTCTATAATGGTGTAGAGATAGGCCAGTCTATAATGTTATAGCGATAGGTCAGTCTATAATGGTATACAGGTAGGTCAGTCTATAACAATATACAGATAGGCCAGTCTATAGTGGTGTAGAGATAGGCCAGTCTATAATGGTAAATAAATAGGCCAGTCTATAATAGTATACAGATAGGCCAGTCTATAATGTGATAGAGATAGACCAGTCTATAATGGTATACAGATAGGCCAATCTATAATTGTTTAGAGATAGACCAGTCTATAATGGTAAAGAGATAGGTCAGTCTATAATTGTATAGAGATAGGCCAGTCTATAGTGGTAAAGAGATAGGGCAGTCTATAATAGTATAGAGATAGGCCAGTCTATAATAGTAAAGAGATAGGTCAGTCTATAATTGTATAGAGATAGGCCAATCTATAATGGTATAGAGATAGGTCAGTCTATAATTGTATAGAGATAGACCAGTCTATAGTGGTAAAGAGATAGGCCAGTCTATATTGGTATAGAGATAGGCCAGTCTATAGTGGTAAAGAGATGGCTCAGTCTATAATGGTATAGAGATAGGTCAGTCTATAATGGTATAAAGATAGGCCAGTCTATAATGGTAAAGAGATAGGTCAGTCTATAATGGTATAGAGATAGGCCAGTCTATAATAGTATAGAGATAGGCCAGTCTATAATGGTACAGAGATAGGCCAGTCTATAATAGTATACAGATAGGTCAGTCTATATATTGGTATAGTCTGACATGCAAGATGAAATGGTATAGAGACAGGTTTGTCTACATGTTGGTCTGAACAGTATGCTGTTGGTAGCTGAGTATTGATATTAAAGCCTTTGAACAAGCTACATGTATATACATTTTTGAAAGAGGAAAAGTCTTTTATAAGTGCAAATTTTCAAAGGGTAAAGAGTCCATTTCATTGTCAAGAGTAAATTAGTTGACACATTTAAAACATTGTAGCAGGTGACAAATGGACAAGTTTTATGACTCATATTTAAATCTTAGCGTATTACTAAATATACTCACAGTATCTACATATGTTGTACAACATGTATCATAATTGACAGGTGCTGGATCAAGATGTACCTAAAGAATCTCCTGTAACATTTTTGTTTCTTGCCAAGTTTTATCCGGAGGATGTTTCTGAAGAGTTGATTCAAGAGATTACCCAGCATTTGTTCTTTCTACAAGTGAAACAGTCCATTCTCAACATGGATATATACTGTCCACCTGAAGCTTCTGTCTTACTTGCCTCATATGCAGTACAGGCAAAGGTGAAAACATCAATATTTATATAATTGTTACTTTATAAAGTATGCAACAAATAATTTTTTTATGAAAGAGCCTAAATCTAAACTAAGTTCTGTCTATATTCTTAAAAGATAGATGTATATTGCCTAAATGAAAAAGTATAACATTGTGAAGTTAGTTTATAAACATATTTTTGCTGAATCAAGTCACTTGTAAAGCAAGTTCTTAGAACTTACACTGACCTTGCTTAGTGTTTTTAATGAATTCTTTACATTTGTTTTGTGTGCAGATAAAGATTAAGTTGTAAGTTGTAGATTTTGTTGTGTATTTATATAATTATAATAGTAGTTGTGTTTTACTATAGTATGGTGATTATGATGAGGGAACATATAAACCTGGCATGTTGGCCAGTGAAGATCTACTACCTCAAAGAGTTATAGATCAGTATCAGATGACATCAGAAATGTGGGAAGAGAGAATAAAAACATGGTATGCTGATCAGCGAGGATTTACAAGGTAAATTATTTACTTGACATATTATAGACAGTCAAATTTAATCAATAACAATTTCTTATATATCTTAGTTGTAGGACTTATATATGGTATGTATGTTTAAATGAGATAATTGCTTTTGCAAGTGAAATTATCATTTCAATGTAAAATACCATGTTGAATTTGTAAATTCTTGCATTAATTAAGAGATTTAAATATCATGTATAAAATAATTACTTAATTAATTTAATTACTTAATTAAGGAGTATTTCTGTAGACTGAGTTCAGAAATTGATTTTTTTATGATAAATTATGTGAATCATAGTATGGTGCCTGTATGATGTAAATAGTAGTTTTGCTATGTTTGGTGTATGGTCAAAGTTTATTAGATGTCGTCAATCACTGTATTCTGATATTGATTATTCGAACCCATTGATTATTTGAAGTAATATTCCAGTCTCCGGCAATTCAAATAATCAAAGTCGTGCGGTATCTTCAAATTATGACACAGGCTATGATTATGTTTTTGAACTACCAGTTTGACTGAGCATTTCTAGAAGTAAAACATCTGTAATATATTACATATCATACAAAGTATTAGAATCATATTTTCCATTCACACAAAATTATAACTGAATTACCTAAATAAATATAGATGCAAGAGAGATAACTTCTTTAAATTTGAATTATTGACAACTATTATTGTAGTCTGCTACTTCTGTATATTTGACTTAGTTGTGTGTAAAATTCAAAGGCACACTATGCCTCAGAATTGAATAAATTTCAACTTCTTTATAAAAGGCAAACATTAATTTTATAACAATTAAATAATGGTTTAAGAGCATGTTAGATTCTTATAAATTGAAAGAAATAGGGCTAAATGAGAAATTATTTGTCATTAACGTAGCAAAATGTAAACAAAGTAGTATTTTGACTTCCATACAAAATACTTAAATCACTGTAACTGTACTATCTGCCAAAACTTTCACATAGGCAAAAGATGGTTCAGGTAAATGGCCAATCACTAACCTTTTAGAAATTAAAACAGGACATAATGAATAAAATGCTTTTGAGAAATAAAAGAATAATGCATTTCTGGGGCATAATGGGCCTTTAAACTGGTTTTATATTCATATGAATATTTCTGTATTGTAAAAATACATTTCCTATACATCCTTTTAAAATAGCCTGTCACATGTGGACACCTTTGCAGATTTTGAACAACCATGTGTTTTGATTTTTGTTTCATTAATGAATGTGTTTACAGGAGTGAAGCACAGATGGAGTATCTGAAGATAGCACAAGAATTTGAGATGTATGGTGTCAACTATTTTCAAATCAAAGTACGCCTCTTTACATCCATCTTTTCATCTGGCTAAAGTAGAAAATTAATTTTAAACTTACTTTATCATAAAATGTAGTCTCAATAAGTCAACTAGAAGAGGGACTGACTGACTTTACAATCTGAGATGTTGAGATGGGTGACCATTGTCTATATAGTAAAAAGCCCTGGCACACAAATTGTTGGGCTACGTATCTATGCTTTTATATTACATTGTTGCTTTTATCACTCTGAATTTCAAAATTTAATTGATGAAGTTAATCGATATTTACATGAAACACCCAGAAGTCCTTTTAATTTGATCATTTTCTGTATGAGAAGAGACATGTTTGAAATTTTGAAGAATTAATATGACTTTTTTTATGATTTCAGAATAAGAGGAACACAGATTTATGGCTAGGTGTCAATGCTCTTGGTTTGAACATATATGAGAGAGATAACAGGTTGTCACCAAATGTCACCTTTCCCTGGAATGAAATAAAAAACATCTCATTTAAAGATAAGAAGGTGAGTCATAAGTTATATACAGCTGTCATTGATGGGTTTTTTTTGTATCAATATATAGAAGCCAATTATCAGCGATATATCATATTTATGTAGAAGGTACAACACAAACCATGTGAATATGTATTATACACTATTATCATGTTGATATTGTATGCTTGTTTTAGTCATCACAAATACAAGATGGTTTTTGTGTGTGATTATTTCTCATTGACCTCTGTAAATAAATTCTGTACTCAAGCTAGCCAAGAAAAAGGAAATTGACTTCTATCTTCACACATAAAAGAAAATTATTGCCTTAGAGAGTGAAAAATGGGTGTTTGAACTGTATCTATATTGAATTGTGAACTTATTTAAAGTCAAATGTCAAATATCTATGTTATATTGATATCCCAATATTCAGTGACAGCCATAACTTAACATATATTAGGATCTAAGTTTATTATCAACAGTCTTTTAAAAAATATACTAAATCTCTTTACAAAGACATTAACAACTAAATGTAGATATCTTGTAAGTAATTTTCATGTGTATATATTCATATATTAATTGTATTATAAAATATAACTTATTTACATTATTTAATAAAGAATTTTGAATCTCATATAATACAATATGTGTCATAATTTTTGTTACATCACTAAGAAGGGAAGACATTGTAAACTTTTTAAAAAAAAGACACAGAAATTTTCAGAAATACATATAGAGTGACAAATTTTTTATCTTGGTTTTTGGATATCTATCTCCTATGTCAGGGTAAGTTTATCACTTGTGAATTGTTATGAACAATTAATATTCATGTACAAATGAACTTAATACGAGTGTATGACATCTAGACCCCTTGACACCTCGACCCCTTGACACCTCGACCCCTAAGACATCTCGACCCCTGACACTTAGACCCCTTAGACACTTAGACCCCTTAAATATACCGGACATTTCGACCCCTTAATTAATGTATTGTTATATTAGGAAAGTCCGTGCTTTTATTAAATAAAACACAAAGTAATGACTAGGTTAGAACATTTTCAGCCGTTTATTAATCATTTATGTATATTTTTTACAAACACAGTAACACAAATAAATATACATATACACACATTACATACACACATTACATTGAAACAACAATACATAGAAAACGCAGACACTATCACTTTATTTATATACATGTATGTAAGAACTACATTATTTACAATATATACACTTTTTCAAACTGTATTTGTGTATGTCTTATTGCTCTACAGCGTCCAATAACACACTTCCTTGTCTAGAAGTTTCCGTAGATCGATCCTATTTCTAGAAGGAACTCCTCACAAACAACATCATGAGCGTCATACATGTCCCATAGGTCCATCACCTTTGCGTCCATGTTTCTGTTCACTTCCCTTCGATAGCGACCGACGCCAGCTTCCGTGACCAATTGTAGATGTATGTTCACTAGCTTCGCCTCTTGCAATAGTAACGTAAGAAGAACATAGAAGGGAATCACGCCCCGACCAGCCTGGCTATTAAGACGTCTATGCCATCCTATAAAAAATAACAACGTATATTCAATATAAGCAAACGAACCAAAAACAGTTTACATAAAAATGTGCAAAATAGATTCACCAATGTCTTTATATTTTATTTTTGCGTCACAATTCAATCATTATGTTTTATTAAGAATTATTGACGACATTGTCTGTATAAAATTAAAATATTATTTTACTTAATAACTCTTATTTTTATATTAAAAAGATAACACAAATAGAGCATACCCTCTGTTTCGTTGTTGGTACGAACAGTCTGTCTGTAGACGGACCATTCTTCTGCAGACCACAAACTGTTCTCCAGCCATTGATCATTCACGTACTCGAATAGGTCTACAAGCGCTTGAGAGCTAACATCAACTTTGTCGAACAGCTTCTTGAATGCTCTTGGTATATCACTTCCAGGCAGGAACGGTAGAGCCAGTAGTTTCCTAATAATCTGATGTACACCCTCTATGTGTCGATATGTGGTCATCAAACCTAGCTCCTGTACTCGTCGCTGTATCGCCTGTGCCCAGTGAAAACCGCATCCTTTGAGACTGGCACCAGGAAAGATCTGTCGTAAGGCTTGCCATAAACCTGAAATGTACTTTTTTGTTATGATCTAACGTCGTGCCGAAATATCATATCAGATTATGTAAACTTTAATTTTTTAATAGTGTATGCAATTAAGAAATCATTATTTATTTTTTTCAAGCATTTATCAATATTCTTTTTAATAATACGTTTATGAATAGAAACAAGTCATACGGTGTTATTTGTTCAAATTAAATAAATAAGTGATCAAATCAAACCTACCGGCTTCGAAGTCCATAGTAAAGCGTTCAACCACCGGCGCTTCATCCATGATATCAAGAAGTTTCTCCAATACCTGTATTATAAAATATTCATATTGATATACTGAAATATGATGAACTGCAATTGAGTTAAATACAATTCAAGTGAATTTCATTCATATTAGGAATAATAAATGATTGATATACTAACAGCAATGTAGTCTTGCTTCCGCCGACGAGACATCATCACAAAAAGAAGCGGTACTTGTTTCATTGTCTCTCCTTTGCGTAGAAAGGCATGAATGCTCCATAATTGCCTAAACGGCTTCCTGACGACTCTAAACGTACCATCACGATACCACTTGCGTGCTCTTTGAAGAAGTTGTAGCTGATCGTTGGTTGCAAACATCATATGACGCTCGTCTCCGACGTGGACATCACCAACAAGAAACTCTTGACCAAGGTAGTCACAGTCAAACTGTAGAAAAATTTAACAGTTATAGAAAATGTAGAGATCAATATTTATTAATTTATTAATTTCATTTCTTAACATTCATTATGATAATTCCATTGATATTTCACAATTGGTATGAAATATTTGAAGGAAAAAAACAACTTGCCTCAAAGTCTGTTAACGTTGTGGGTTCTGCTGGCCGGATCTTCTGTCTTGCTCGATTTACCTGTCTCAACATGGAGTCTGGGAGAGGTAAACCAAAATCACCTTTTCCGAAAGTTTCGGCAATGTGTCCGCTTATAACCTTTCCTGCTGGGGCATATACGTCTTTCACAGCATCTTGTTTTATCTGTAAATTAAATGTTATTATTAAACACTGTTTTCGGCGCCTGTATCATATTTCAACATTTATGGTAAAAATATATTTTTTCATGAAAATGATGTTTATTTTCTTTTGGGTAAAAACTGATACAAAGTTAATATGTAATAAAAATGTCGTTCTTACGTTTCGTTTGAATATAACTCTCTTTTTCATTAACGGGTCCGATGAGTGATTGTGAGGCCCTGGTCCTCGCGAGAAGATGTCGCCTCGCTGTGTCACGCTGGCGTAACAAATGTTTCCCGGCCTTCGTTGACTACAACGCCACTGAGTACTGGATTTTGTCTGTCTCTGAAACAAATCACATGTAAAGAGTGCATTTTCGCATCTAAATTAATTAAAATATCAAATGATTATTTCTACTACAAAAACTATGTATTGGATTATTATTCAATTTATAAGAAATTTTCTCCAGTATGATTTTGACATACACTCTATATCGTTCCTTGCACAGACCATTTTGAATAAGGGAAGTTCGTTTTTACATAAGACATTTAGATTAAGTAAACATTACATGTACATGAAAAATTAGTCATTTGTTACACACCTTAACACAGTATGAATAACCATCAGATGATACAAGCTTCTTCTTTTTCCGTATGGAACCCTCTTCTACAACCTCAAACTTGATCATATCATTATCTTCTAAAACCGTATCGGTCAAGGCCGGATCTTCAACTGACCTGTTATTTTTTAATACAAAGGATATGTTAGCATGCTTATATGAAGAAATCGTAGATATAATATATATTGCAAAAACATTTAAAAAGTACACGAAAATACATATACACACGCAGATATATTTACTTGATATTTATTCACCGTGATAAGCATTTATGTTAATTAAAATATTTTCAATGCATTACCTGTCAGTGACATTTGACGTATCTTGCGCATGACGTGTAACGTCGAATAGATCTCTATCCGTATTTTCATAACAAGTTTCTGGTGTAACAACGTAAGTAGCATTCTGTATGTTCTGTGTCTCACCGGCAGTATCACTAGACGTGGAACCAATACTATAATCCAGCAGAAATGTCACATGTCTGTTAACGTCTTCACTCGAAGTCTAAAATACACATTTACGTTATGCATTTACCTATTTACTTTAAAACAATTCATACGTTTCACTATAACATGGACAATTACTAGTTGTATATTTCTTTAATGGCAATATATAATGTCATATACGGGAAATCATGTACGTATTTCTTAAATACATGTAGCATTGATATCAACGAAGAATAATCATTACATCCTTAAAAAATGTTATTCTATGTCATGATTGTGAAGTAAAATAATTTATATCAATTCAATTTGACAAACCTCAATCAAAGTAGAATGCAATGCGGTCCCAACAGCTTCCGAAATTGAATGATCAACGGAATTGTCATGATCAGGTGTTGCTTCATCTGAAGGGGCGTCACTACAAATACTACAAGTGAACTGTACGACGCTTAAACGTTTACGTGCCTTGTAATAATCTATTCTGCTGATACCTGCAAAATACAAATTTTTCATCTGATAACAAAATTTAAAAAAATAAAATTATGTTTTTATTGATAATACATGTATATACCTTTCTAATGACCGATAATCGGATTAGTATCGGCACGCGCCGGTGTTAATCCAATTACGTGTCACTGAATAAACACATACATGTAATACCGATAATTTGATTATTTAACGGCACGCGCCGGTGTTTATCCTATCACGTGTCACGGATTAAACACATACATGTTAAACAAGCACACGGGAGATGTATGATGATAACTTATTTGTCATTTTCATTTTTTGTGGTCAAAATATGTTTGCAAGTGATTAAATGTGTATCAAAAATAAATCCTTTATTATTTAATAATTTTATTGGATACAGTTTGAAGCACACTCATTCTAATTTTCACTGTTGCAAAAATGAAATTTTAATTGTTTTAGTAGTGAGTCATATATATTTTTGTAAATATCTGACATACCAAGTCAGTCAATAAATATATCTTCAACTATATCATTTACCTAAAATTACTGATAGTATTTTTTTACTTTGATAATTATGGGGTCAGCTTCCGTTAATTATTACGCAGTCAATAATTACATTTCCGTTAACTATTACACACAATTCAATATTTCTTTTAGTATAAACTTTCATTGCCAATGTATCATTATCATAAACAATAAACTGAAAAATGAAACATTACTAACCAGTGTTGCAGGTTCTGTGTTGCACCTTCTCACAAATGACACATGTGACGGCATGTTGTAAAGGACGAACAGTCTCCTCGCACGCAATACACAAAACGGACATTATCATTTAATAAATTATCATTTAATAAAGTAATATGATTATGAGAAATATACACACAAAAAAGTCTGTAATACTATTCCTTCACTATTTATGAGGCAATATTAATAGGAAACACGCCTAATTTTAATAAAACTGAATTGATGTAGAAAATACGCGTTTTTATGTATATCTTCACAAGTTTGAGTAAATGGTATGAATAAAAAATGTGTGAAAGTAATTAGCAAAGACTTTCTTTAACATCAAAGATTATTTGTTACGCACGATGTTATATATCTAAAAAATGATTGTTACTTAATGCGCTAATGACGTAATTAGAAATTAGCACCATTACATTAAACCACGGGACTTTAATCCGATTTTAGTCAATAATTAAACAAATAAAAACTGTGATTTGTTTATTAATCACCAAAATTAAATTTAAAAAATGTAAATTTTGCAACTAATATTTAAAAAAAAAACATATAAATTTAAAGAAAAAAATTAAATATTATATAAAAGTCTTACAATATTTTCAAAATATATTTATGGTTCTTTTAAAGTCCAACATTTAAAACAGGGGTCGAAATGTCTTAGTCAGTAGGGGTCGAAAAGTCATCTTACAAGGGGTCTAAGAGTCAAGGGGTCTAGATGTCATCTTAATATCCTAAGGGGTCGAGAAGTCAAGGGGTCTAGATGTCTTACTTCCCTTAATACATATTTAAAAGTGATTAACTGAAAATGCTCTGATTTACATTTTACCCAAATGTCTTTGTAAATGTATGATAATAGTTTAATATTGATATAAGTTAAATTATATGTAGCAAGGACATAGTGTTATAATAGTTTTCCTTGTTTCAGTTTGTGATTAAAGCTATAGACAAGAAGGCACCTGACTTTGTATTCTATGCTCCAAAAATCAGGCTGAATAAATTGGTATGTTATGAGTAGGAGTTTTCTTTTTGTGGTCTTTAATAAGCAAAATAATGAGTATAAAAATGATGAGTATATTTTCTGAATCCTCATAAAACTAAGAAGTGGTCTTAAAGGAACTTCACTGAGGTCTCTAAGCCCAAAATCACAAAATTTGAAATTCATCATCAGTCATTTGGTTCTCTTAAAATGGTAAAAATGTTTAATAGATAATATGTAAATACACTAAACAGCCCATGAGGTCATCCTCCAAAAGCTGACATGTTGCCATATGACCTTTACAAATTACAGTTTTGATGTGACTTTAAACTCAACAAAACAATCAGGTCATTTACTATACCACAGTTTACGAGGATTGATAAAAAAAGTTCTTGGCCCGGTGTACTTCCGGTATTCAGAGAACCCAACAAATGGTCTTACATTTCAAATAATCACCCTCTACATCAATGCACTTTGCCCACCTGTGCTCCAACTTGTTTAACCCTTCAAAATAGAACTCTCTATTTTGGTCCTCAAAGAACTCATTGACCGCCTCCATGACACCTTCATTGCTTCCAAAACGTCTACCACGAAGCTTGGTTTTCAGTTTCGGAAACAGGTAGAAGTCAGAAGGGGCCAAGTCCGGAGAATATGGGGGATGGGGAAGAATTTCAAATCCGCAGTCAGTTGCAGCAGCCATCGCAACTTGGGATGTGTGAGCTGGCGCATTGTCGTGCAGGAGCAGAACGCCTTGAATCAGTTTGCCCCGCCTTTTACGCGTGATTTCTTGACGCAGACACAGAGGGGGTGAGTCAGGGTGCTTCCACTGCATGTTCTGGATTCTGGATCAAAGAACCCATCTAGGGGAAACCTTTTACATGCCATAGACATCAGTCAGAATTGCCTGAACTTAACCAAAACTTATATCCACTTCCCTAGCAATGCTTCGCAGGTCTCGCCTTCTGTCGCATATGACCAGATTGTGCACAGCTTCTGCAGTTTCATTGTTGGTGGCCTCTTTTGGCCGACCAGGCCGTTCATCATCTCAAATGCTCTCCCTGCCCCTCTTATATTTAGCAGCCCATTTTTTCGCAGTGCTTCCCAAGTGTATCCATGAAGTCTTCATGGATTTCCTTGTTGGACATCCCTTTCTGCACAGGTACTTAATGACAGCTCTTATGACAACTTTCTCCATTTGGTCTAAATGACGCACCCATCTACTGATCAAAGTGTGTTTTATGTTACTTAATCTGTGTAAAACCACATGTAACTCGGTCAGTAATTTTCAATAAGATATCAGTATCGACGTATCGTGTGTAAATGTCATGGCTAGAAGTATATCGGGCCGAGAACTTTTTGATCATACCTCATATATATGCACATTACACTGTTATAATAAAGTTTTATGTAATAGAAAGAGCATTGAAACAACTTTTATTAACATTATGTAACTGAAGTATGTCGCTGTTCCAGAAAGTACAGTTTAATAGCATTGATAAAATACTTTATTGTATGACATAAATGATTTGTAGATTATGTTATAGATGACAGTTGACATGATGATATAATTTCAGATATTAGAGTTATGTGTAGGTAATCATGAGTTGTTTATGAGACGTCGTAGACCTGACTCTATGGAGATACAACAGATGAAAGCACAGGCAAGAGATGAGAAACTTAGAAAACAGGTATTATACATCATACTTACATACATATTTATGTTTTACCTTTAAATATCATAGTCGGCAATATAATCACAACAAGTTGTACAGTTTTTGTGTTTTAAGAAAGTTAACACACATCATTGGAAGCGATCAAGAGAAAAATGCATCAAAAGTTCACTGTGATTGAAGATTTTAAAATTTGGAAAATTACATTTTGCAACTTTCAACTATATTGAGGCATTAGGCTAAATCATGCTGGGTTTGATCTTTATTATTGTATAAAATAAACAACTTTATAAATCTTGTATATATGCTTTTTGTTTGATCTTTCACAGCTGATAGTCATAAAATGGATGAGAAAAGAGTCTATAAAAGTGAATATGTTGTGCTGTCTATTTCTATACTGGTGACATTTTGTCATACTATACTGGTAGTAGTGTTAACATTATGATTTTGTTACACAATTGAAGCACCAAGTTCTGCTAACATATTTTAGATAGAGAGAACAAGATACACAAAGGAGAAACAGATGAAGGAAGATGCTTTGAGAGAGAAAGAAGAATTAGAACGAAGATTATCACAGTTACAGGACGATGTTAGAATTGTTCAAGATTCTCTTGTTAGTATAATGTTTTTATAATGTACTAAATGAGGGTTTTTACTTATTGGTATTGTTACCACGTATTTATTCAGTGTAGCCAACTCAAGATATTTTCTGTTTATGTGTTCTGATGGTGGTTGTGCATTATAAAGTAATTTATTTTACAAAACCAAACGTTATGTGTGAATATTCTTTACACCTATATGAACTTTTTAATGAAACTAGAAATGTTTGTGTGTAACACTTGTTTATTGTTTGTGGTTTAATGTTAATATGGGTTCATGTGTCAGCACTAGTCTTTAATTAATACATTGTTATACTACAGTCACAATATTAATACTTAAATTTTTGTGGTATACAAAACATAAATTATCCTGGAACGTCTTTTATAAGAGTTTCTTGTACTAAAGTCTTGACAAACCATTTTTATGCTCATATACTGTAGACTATTTAACAAAAGGAAAGATAAAGTATAATGTTTTATTGAATAAGAGATGTTTTATTGTATGTTATATATTTATATAAGGGAACAGTTGTGGTATTTTATAATATGATACAGGGAAATGTTAACATATGTTATTGTATGATATATATCAGGGAAATGTTGACATATATTATTGTATGATATATATGAGGGAAATGTTGACATATGTTATTGTATGATATATATCAGGGAAATGTTGACATATTTTATTCTATGATATATATGACGGAAATATTGACATATATTATTGTATGATATATATCAGGGAAATGTTGACATATTTTATTGTATGATATATATCAGGGAAATGTTGACATATATTATTGTATGATATATATCAGGGATATTTTGACATATTTTATTGTATGATACAGGGAAATGTTGACATATTTTATTGTATGATATATATCAGGGAAATGTTGACATATTTATTTGTATGATATATATCAGGGAAATGTTGACATATATTATTGTATGATATATATCAGGGATATTTTGACATATTTTATAGTATGATACAGGGAAATGTTGACATATTTTATTGTATGATATATATCAGGGATATTTTGACATATTTTATTGTATGATATATATGTGGGAAATATTGACATATTTATTGAATGATATATATGAGGGATATTTTGACATATTTTATTGTATGATATATATGAGGGAAATGTTGACATATTTTATTGTATGATATATATGAGGGAAATGTTGACATATATTATTGTATGATATAAATGAGGGAAATGTTGACATATGTTATTGTATGATATATATGAGGGAAATGTTGACATATATTATTGTATGATATATATGAGGGAAATGTTGACATATATTATTGTATGATATATATGAGGGAAATGTTGACATATATTATTGTATGATATATATGAGGGAAATGTTTACATATATTATTGTATGATATATATGAGGGAAATGTTGACATATATTATTGTATGATATATATCAGGGAAGATCGGAGGAGACAGCTGAGTTGTTAGCAGAGAAGGCAAGAATTGCTGAGGAGGAGGCATCTCTTCTCTCACAGAAAGCTAATGAAGCAGAAAATGAGAAAAATAGAATTAGATTATCTGCAATTAAGGTATTTATAACATTATAACTTTATACAGAAACACATCACAAAACTCAGGTGTTAAATGGTTAAATGCCAGTTTGGTTGTTAAATGTTTTCACATGGGGCGTAAGAGAGTGGGGTGACCTATTGGTAAATGAATATTGGTTGGTTCCGGGAACAAATTTCCAAGTGTGTCTGTAAGCTTATAGCTTCTTACACAAACCCAAATAAATCAGTACAAACTTACACAAGACATGGTATTCAAGAAGAGGGTGGCTTCAGAACTAATGTGCGATATCATATATCAGTTATGCATCAATATCTTCATTTTAATAATAAATATCTAGATACTGTTCTGTATATTTGTACAAAACAAAAAAGGGGTTTACCAGCCAGATATGCTAACATAATCATTTTTAGCTTGACTTTTTAGCTCACCTGTCACAAAGTGACATGATGAGCTTTTGTGATCGCTTTTCGTCAGGCGTCCGTTTAGCAATGTTATAAATCAATATAATTTCTATTTATAGACAGAGGAGGAGAAATTAACAATGGAATTAAGAGCCAGAGATGCTGAATTCATAGCAACAAGATTGTTGGAAGATTCAGAGCAAAGGTATACTAACTTTTAGTTGTACTGACCTTGTTTGATATGATATTTTTGTTAAACTAATCATTTTTGACATGACTTTACAGTTATACTAGCCATGGTTGACACAATTTTATAGTTAACTTACCTTGTTTGACATGATTTTTTGTTACTGACCTTGTTTGACATGATTTTTTGTTACTGACCTTGTTTGACATGATTTTATAGTTATACTGACATTGTGTTACATTGTTTTATAGTTATCTGACCTTGTTTGACATGATTTTATAGTTATCTGACCTTGTTTGACATGATTTTATAGTTATCTGACCTTGTTTGACATGATTTTATAGTTATACTGCCATTGTGTGACATGATTTTATAGTTATCTGACCTTGTCTGACATGATTTTATAGTTATCTGACCTTGTTTGACATGATTTTATAGTTATCTGACCTTGTTTGACATGATTTATATTTAAGCATACATTGTTTGACAATATTTTTTGTTTTTATGACATGAGTTCTTCAAAATATAAGATTGCTAACAATGTTCTAGAAAAAAGAATCATATATTTACTGTTGGAAGGGGATCTCAGATACCCACTGTGCATTATTTAAGGCACAAGGGGTCACCTGAGTAAATCAAGAGGTCTTCTTAATAGGAACTATAAACTGATTAATGTATAAACAAAGCACAATTTATTTATATATATAAATCAAGAATGATTTTTTTGCCATTTCATTTTACCAGTACATTATTTACAGAAACCATAAATTCAGTTCACCTCTATCTCTGTTACTAAAAATGATGCCATAGAATATACATGTAAATACATGTTTTATTTTATGCTTACCTTTAGGAATTTGTATAATCAATTTGCCCTGCACACAGCTGTCAAAGAAAGTGTGATGGGTAATATAATAATCCTTAATATGCTTGCAAGTGATACTAGTATAGAAACTTTCAGTAAATTTCACTAATAACAATATCACTTATAACAATATACACCTTATAAAGATGCTGTTGTCACATTCCCAACTCTTTGTTTTCAAATTGGTTGCTATTCAGATATAACTGTATAACTTCGGCGGTCCCAAAGAAAATTGTAATGAGCTGAGTTTACTGCATATTTAAATCTATTATTATCACTAATGCTAGTTCTGAGCTTACAGCAGGGCAGTAAGATCAAACAAAATCAGTAGGGCTAGAACAAAGCTTCAGATTATATAGACGTGCAAGCTGATCTGATCTCAGACTAATGATATAGGCTTAGATTCAGACCCTCTAGTACTAGCATTCTGAAGAGTTGGTATTTTATTATACAACTTAAAGAAATCTTCAAATTTGTTTGACTGCAGGGTAAGAGAGGCTGAACAATTGAGAGAAGAGTTACGACAAGCTAAACTGGAAGAAAGATTGGCAAAGGAAAAACTCCTTGAAATTACCAGAGGATCTATGGCATATCCTGTAATTACTTTTCTTTATTCTCACAAATCTATCTGCATTCTTCTATATGAGGAAGCATATTCTTAGCTGACTGAAGTTTGGTGGTTTAATACTCATGTGGCTGCCTGATCCGGGCCACCAAAAAGGGCCACCTAAAGATTTCTAGCCAAAGACCTGGAAAGTTGTCATGTCAACAGTACCAGTTTGACTTTTAAACAGATGTAGTTCATATACAACTATTTAACCTCAGGATTTCAATAATACTGTATTTGTTATAAAGTCTGTATAGTGGATGATTCTCAGAATAAAGAAGATCATAATTGATTTGTGGTTCAGAATGAACAAGCCATAAATAAATCTTGATTTTGATTAGAATGGTTAAATATTATCACATTTTTACAATACTTCTTGTTGTACACTGTTAACAGCATAAATGTCATCCCTAAATGTTAATTGTTGAGATGATTTCAGACACAAAAACATTATATGAAAATAACCAGACATGATTGCATATTTATAGGAAATGTTTTCAATACCTAACTTGACATCTGACCTAGCGTCCCATTTGACGTTGTCACCAGATTTAGGGCCGAACGAGTCGACTACAGAAGCTAACTGTGATCTCCTAGCAACAACAGATATGGCACAACTCTCTCTAGAAATAGAGAAAGAAAGGTGAAGATTTTCTTCTTTCTTATATACAACCATTAAAGATCCTAATAGATCTAATGGTTACAACTTAAGAGAAAATACTAGAGTATATGCTTTGTATTAAATGTTTGAGCTTCACATTTAGGTTGTTAAGTAACTGAGCTATGTAGGGATAAGTTTTTGTCTGTTTTGGACATGCTGCAACGTTCATCAGCAAGGCATGTTACTAGAAATGTTTGTTTATATCATGTTGTGAAATGAAATTTATCTCATATGCTAATATAATGTCACTGACCTTTGTAGCTTGACTATTCAAAGGATAGGGAGAGCTTTTGTTCTCCCCCAGATGTCAGTGTCACACTTTGGTTATGTTATTTCCATGGTATCTCCAAAACTATTAAAAAGAATGGGCTGAAACTTCACACACTCATTTAAAACACATTCCAAGGCTAATTACTCTAAATGAATTTTGACAAAATTATGGCCTTTTTTTTTTAAACTTAAAAAATTCTACTTTATCTAGGCTCTTGTTTTACTATCAAGCACAGAGAAAAGTTGAGCACACTGTCCCACAGACAGCTCTTGTCAGTACCTGTTGTTGATTTATGCAAAGGCAAGAGAGCTTTACATGAGATAATGAATTTAAATGTTTCCTCTGATATCTTTAACAGAGTGGAATACACAGAAAAATCAAAGAATTTATCAGATCATTTAAGAGAACTAAAGACAGAAATAGAGGTATTGAAGAAGGAAGATACAGAGAATATGTTAGACAGACTACATGAAGAAGGTGTACTGAGAGGGGAAACAAAGTACTCAACTTTACGCCAGGTAAGACACACACAGGTTCATACAAATACTGACACAAACAGTATGATTGTCTGTAGCCTTACAGGTCAGCTGTTATTTTACATCAATGATTTCATTTTGTTATGTATGCCTTGATGAAATATGGTAGCTGCCCTGAACTATAAATTTTGTTGTAAACCAGGTTTGCATTGGCTTGTTCAGTGTTTGTTTCTCAACTTATAAACTTTAGAAGAAAGAAAGTTTTTGTAAGTACAAGAAGTAAGAATTATGTTTTTCCATATGAATAAAAGATAAGGGATGAATCGAGACCCGAAAACTTGTCTGGTTTTAGGGGTACTTCACATAATAGAGTTTCACTGTGTAATTGAAAATAAGCTTGTTTAAGTTGATTTAGTTATCTATTTTTGTATCACTTTATCATATAGTACATACTAGATAAATTTATATACTGGTTATATGTTTGTTTTAGTTATTCAATTTTTGATTCAATGTTAATTTTATTTATTAATTTCTGTTACTTACAGGCATCATCAACGAGTACTCAGTCTAGAGTGACCCTGTTTGAACAGTTGTGATATAACAGTAAAGTACATTAGTGTGAGCTAGCAGATACCTTGTTCTTATTGCCAGTAATCACTTCATGTAATATTTCAAGGAGGTATCTTCTGTAATACAAGTGTGTCTGTCTATGTGTTGGCATTATGTAACTTATAGTCTGTGATCAGTATACATGTCATGTTTTAATATAACTGCTATATACAGTTCCAGTTGATCCACATAACCTAGAATGATGACCTGTATAAACGTTTATATACTGTAGGCCCTCATTATCTGATATATGTAAATGTATGAACAGAGGTCTATTTTACCTAAGAACAATGTTATCTTTGTATATTGTTTTGAAAGAAACAAAGATAAAAATCACAAGTTAAAAATAAATATATTGCAATATAATAATGGTGTATAAACTGAGACAAGGTTTGAGGTCTTGTTTTCTTTTTATTACAAGACTAGTGTACCTCCTGCTTGCCCACTCATGTATTGTAAATAAAAACACTTCAGCCTTTCCTTCTCTAGTATACGTCAATATCAATATATGACTTTTTACCTAAAACTTGAATAAAAGTTGAATACAAAGTATAATTATCTTTAACTTGTGATTATCTTGTGGTAATATATCAAATGTAAACTTTATAATTGATTAATATTCTAATCTAACAAAAAAATGAAGAAAACTACCACATTCTTACAGAATCATCATTTAGCCTTAACTTTGCTTTATGTATGGTTATTGTTTTAAGAAAACTTGTCTGAAATGTTCATGAATGTGTTACATATATTGAGAGAAGAGTGTTTTACTATTACTTCTTGCAATTTTATAACTCTGTGTATAAATGTGTTATATGTGAAACTTTATATCACTATGTCTTCCATTGCTACTTTTGACTGCCATATTTAATGTATATACATGAATACACTGTTTTATAAGTAATGAACATTGCTTAAATGTGCAGGTTATTTGTCCTTTTTTAGCTTGATTATTTTAGAGAACAAATTTGGCTATTGCTTTAGGTATGGTGTTGTTGCTTAACATTTGTTATATTTTTTCATTTCTTTATACTTGGTCACAAAAATTATTTGCGCAAGACCTTCAATAGATCTGACTTAACTTGTCCTTGACACCTTCAAGTGGGTATTTTTCACCTTTGCTTGGTTTTTGCTATAACTGGCTATAACTTTGTTTTTCACAGATGGATTGTCTTCATACTTAGTCTCAACAAGCTTTTGGACATGACTTTTAAGTAGACCAGACTGAATTTGACCCTGATGGTCAATATATTGTTTTGTTGTGTTGTTGTTTTTTTTGCTATAATTAGCCATACATTTGTAATAAATTAATGAATTGTTCCCACAAAGGACACACTAACCCTTCAGACAAGATAGTCAAGAAGATTGAATTGAACTTTACATTGACATTCAAGGTCAAATTATTGAAATTTGCTTAAAGTAGCCATAATTTTGTCAAGTTTTAATGGATTTGATTTATACTTAGGCAAAACAACACTTCTTATCATACCAAATGTTGCATAATTTAAAAATGACCTTGACCTTTAATGGCCTTGACCGTGAAGGTCAAATATTTGCTGAAATAGTCTTAAATTGTTTATTAATTTACAGGTTTTATTCATACTTAAATAAAACCACACTTATGAAGAAACTGTTCTGTTTAATAATTCTAATATGACCTTGACCTTTAAATGACCTAGACCATCAAGGTCATATTAATGAATTTTGCTTAAATTGTCATGATTTTATTATCAATTTACAGAAGTGTGTTTTTTCTCTAAAATATCAATACTTTTTACAAAACTAATATAATAAATAATTCAAATAATGACTTTTACACACATAAATGAATTCAAGGTAAGGTTATTGAATTTAGCTTAAATTATATTTTTGTTATTAGTCCCCTACCGGTTTAACCGGAGGGGACTTTAGGTTTACCCTCCGTCCGTCTGTCCGTCTGTCTGTCTGTCTGTCTGTCTGTCTGTCTGTCCGTCTGTCTGTCTGTCTGTCTGTCAGTCTGTCAGTCCGTCAGTCCGTCAGTCCGTCCGTCCACAAAACTGGATCCCGCGATAACGCAAAAAGTACTGAAAATATTTTTATGAAACTTGATATATGGATAGATGGCAGTATGGAGATTATGCACGTCTTTTTTTTTTCTTCCTATGTTGAAAATTCTGGTTGCTATGGCAACAAATAGTCTGAAAATATGGCAAATTTAACACATAAACTGGATCCAGTGATAACTCAAAAAGTACTGAAAATATTTTTATGAAACTTGAAATATGGGTAGATGGCAGTCTGGAGATTATGCACATCTTTTTATTTTCTTCCTATGTTGAAAATTCTGGTTGCTATGGCAACAAATAGCCTGAATTTCAAGATTTCTGATTTAAATTTTTCAGCTTTTTCACTATATGTTCTTTATTTCTTAAGGTGTTTACTTCAAACTTTAAATATAAGTTCCTGGTCATCAACCACATCATATGTGACAAGGTTTATAACTCTAGCACAAAAAATATTAATATTACCTCCCTTGAACTTAGATTTTTTAGGGGAAAAAATGTTGTCTTTTTTAAATAACTTCTTTATTTCCTAATGTATCTACTTCAAACTTCATATATATGTTTCTTATTATCACTCGACATTTTTGAGAAGGTTAAATACTCTAGCAAGACTATTTCCAGAATTATGTCCCCCTTGAACTTAGATTTTTTTCGAGAAACTGGTATTTTCACTCCAACTTCTTCATTCCTTATAGGATTTACTTTAAAATCCCACATCGTAATAATATGACAAGGTTGTATAAACATAATTTCCTTACTAAGCATGGAAACTTAACACATTACTGTGATATAAACAAACTTATTTTATTATGTTTTGTGGTCGATATTTTCAAATACAGACTTCATCCTCAAATTCATTATAAATGGCAATACACAGGAGTGTATGACAATTAAAGAACTTTTTGAGGGACCGGTAGGGGACTACTGTATTGCCCGCAATACTATCAAATGCTTGTTTATTATGGATTTGATTCAGATTTCAACAAAGCTAACATGTTAAATAAGATTGACCTTAACCTAGGAATGATCTTGTCAACTTGTCATTTTATTGAATTCAGCTTAAATTGTAAAAAAAAATTATGTATGACTAATACTTGGACAAATTGACACTTGTGACTAAACCAACATCCTGACATTTCTAGGTTTTGCCTTGAACATAAATGTGACTTTGACAGTCATATTACTTTGCCATAAATGTGTTATACCTGGACAGATTTTATTTATACTGAAACAAAACATTGTTGACAACACAGACTGGAATAATTTGACTATGACCTTGTGACCTTGATTTGTAAATGGCCTTAATTGTCAAAGTCAAATAAAAAATTTTAATTAAATCCTGTACATAAATGTAATGTTTTCTGTGAAAACCCTTCACTAAAATGTTTTTCCTCTGATGTGTTTGCCTTTTGAAATAAGGAATAGTTGACTGAGGCCCCCCCCCCATTCTGCAGTGGCTCTTGTTAGGTGTTGAACATTCGACTTTTTAATGTTATATGTAACTTTGAAATATTTATATGAAATAAGTTTTTTTTTTAATTTATTTTGTAAGTTTACAAAAGATGGGAAATGTAATGAATGTTTTGGTTAAGATCATTTACTTCAGAGAATATTGATAAGGGTTATAATGTATAAATTTTATGTTGTGATATTTCACATGCCCTGTGATATGAGTTTAAAGATAACTATATATATTACAACACTCAAACATTTGATATTATTACGTTTAAAGAAATCCAGTGGAGCTAATATGTTCACTAGTTTTTATATTATTCGAAAGAAGGATGCTTTGCTAAGACATTTAAAATTTTGATTATTGTCTTTTTGATGCATACATTGATTCAATTATTGTTAAATTAAAAAAATTATGGCCACCCTATCCAGCTACAGTGCATTTTATATATTTGTTTGTGCTTTTTTATTTTCATCTTCATACATGTACATTGTATATAATGTTTGTATATTATTTGTATGTTAATAGATCTGAATTGTTGTGCAATATTTGTGAAAACATGTCGCTTGCATTAAGATTTTACCTCACATAAATGAAGCTTTGTTACCTACTATTTCTGAATGCTATCATTCTAAAACTGGCAATGTCTTCTTACACTATTTAAGCTGATTGATAAAATATTGTTTGAGTTGAAATCACAAGTATAGTTATCTAAATTATGTCATCAATACTGAAGGCTTTTACCATGCTGCTAGTGACATAAAATATCCCTCATTATAGAGGTTGTTTAGTATCAGGGAAATACTAAATGGTTTTGCTTGTATTGTGCAAAGCAAACACGCAAGTTTATTAATGATCATATGGTGTTATTAATTAATTAGGTTCTAAATATTTTATGTTAACATAATAAATTATTGCAATAAATTATTTGTAAGACCATATGCATCAATATTAATTTTTTCTGATCTTAAATATCTTAAAGAAATAATGTTTTATAATAGAGCTATTTTTGTGTCGCCTCTACGGAGTAGTGGCGACATATAGGGATCACATCTCCGTCATCCGTCTGTCTGTCCGTCACAAAACTTGTCCGGACTACTCCTCATAAACTACTGGTGCAATTTCATCCAATTTTTACAGGAATGATCAGTACCAAGTCTAGTTGTGCATATTGTCAGCATTTTCCGGTTCAATGATTTTTTGTCAGAGTTATGGCCCTTTAATAATTTTTAATTTTAAAGTTTGTCCGGACTACTTCTCTTATACCACTAATGCAATTTCAATGAAACTTTACAGGATTGATCTGTAGCTCAAGTTCTTGCGCATATTGCACGGGTTTTCCGGTTGAATGATTTTTGGTCGAGTTATGGCCCTTTGATAAAAAGGTGTTTTTTTCTGTGTGTTGCCAGATACACAAAAGCTTGTCCGGACTACTCCTCATAAACTACTGGTGCAATTTCATCCAAACTTTACAGGAATGATCAGTACCAAGTCTAGTTGTGCATATTGTCAGCATTTTCCGGTTCAATGATTTTTGTCAGAGTTATGGCCCTTTGATAAAAAGGTGTTTTTTTCTGTATGTTGCCAGATATGCAAAAGCTTGTCCGGACTACTGTTCATAAACTACTGGTCCAATTTTATCAAAACTTTACAGGAATGATCAGTACCAAGTCTAGTTGTGCACTGTCCGTCTGTCTGTCCGTCTGTCACAAAATTTGTCCCAACATGAAATTGGCCATCATGAGGCGACACATGTGATTACTGATCGCTCTTGTTGTATTTTAAACCAAAGCCTGCATTTTGACTGATGTTAAATACATCTTTATGCATTATATAAATTTTTTCAAATTTTGATTTGAATTTTTGCAGGAGAAATGTTTTAAAGTAGTAAAACTATATTGAAAATGTGTTTCATTTTTATGTTACCTGAAGAGAGAGCCTATGGTTGCTGCCTTGTCTGTTTGTCTGTCCATCCTTGACAGCATAATAACTTGCTGTGTTGCTTAGGTTTTAAACTTTCTCCCTTTATAATATTAATTAATGCTTATTGTAAAAAAAACTTGAAAAGTACTTCATACAATGATAGAGATTAGAAAGTGGAAGTGCAGAGTACAAACCATAATTCTACCATGCTTAAATTTTGAATTATCGTCCTTAATGATACTATAGATGTAGAAAGTCTATAATATCTAATTGATGAGGGGAAGTGGATATTACAGGACTTGATTATTGGTCTTTTATCTGTTGTAGGTATTTACCATGATTTATGCTGTAACTGTGGTTTTTGGTGGTGTCAAGGTCGTTGCTACTTGAATTTTTACACTTTTGTTCTTACTGCTTTTATTTTTTTCACTGAAATATAATTGCACATGTGCAGTTTCGGGGAGTATTCATTGTCTGTAGGGATGTTTTTATTCTGTTAATACATGTTCTACACAAATGAGTTCATCATTCAATAACCAAAGTGTAATTAATGTTTTTTGGTAGAAATCAATTTAATGTTGAAAAGTGAAGAAATCATGTGATGCTATGTTAAATCAAAATTTTTATCAGTATTACAATGTATTTGTTAATTATTTGAAAGGGTACCATATATATGTATTGCTTTCATAATTTGTCTCATTTATAAAAGTTGTATCTATAGTTTGTATTTAACTGAACTATATAGTGAAATGATGAATTTTGTTATGATGATATAAAATATGATAATGAAAATAATGGTATAAATTAGTTTACAGATTATATTGTATGTATAATAGTGACATACTGGACTGATAATCAGTGATATCAATGTTAGAAGTTATATTATAGTACATGTATAAAATATTACCTAGTTGTATACTGTTGACTGTTTAAGTTTAGCACATTAAAACCTTTAAACTACTAAAGGTGTGAATTTAGAGCATTACACACTTTTATTAGACAAATATCAACTAATATGTACTTTATATTGATAATTTGAGTTACTTTTTGATTTACTTTATATTTATTGTAAAACATTTTGTGTTTATATTAATACATGTACTTACAATAAGATAACAATTAACATTGCATCAAAATAATTAAAAGTAACCATACAAAAAGTTATTCCAAAATTACCCTGGAGTATATGGAATCTTAGAACTATAGTATTAATTTGGTTGTAGAATTATTTACATATTGATACATGTGTTGTTAATTACTAACTTAATATTGTGAAACACTGCTTAAAATGATTTTATTGAACATTAGCGAACTATATACTGGCAGGGTTTACAAGTATAAAAAAGTAAACGTTTGTGTTTCAAT